ATTTTTCTTTGAGCTGGCTGAGTTCTTTATCTGGCCCACAGGCATCCGTGGGGTTACAGAACTAAGGGGATAAGAGGGGAAGGGGCCATGCAGTGGTTTATGGCTTGGTGGGGAAACCTTAAACCCCTACTGTTGCCAAGACAATGCATTGTCAATCTATGGCCTCACACATTCCCTGGCATAGAAACACAGAGGATGCAAAGTGCCTTAGCTCTGTTCTGCTCTGCAGCTGTGGGGATGTTTTTGGAGTGAGTGTAGACATTCCAAACTCGTGCTAGCCTTGGTACCATTCACAATGAAGCCACAGTGATGTGGGGCTTTGGCAGGACGTGCACCTCCCTTCCCCCTCCAGGATTCTAGGTATTTACTTAGGCAGGCAGGTCTGAGCTGCTGTGGCTTCACTGCTCTTTTAGCAGGATTAGCTGGAGCACAGCTAGCTTGGAATCTTCTCTGCAGGCTGCTGTTAAGCCTCTCAAGCAGCTATGGATGTTGTGCTGCTGTGAAAGTATGACACGTGCATTTGAACCATTGTGTGGCCTTGGATTAGATGCAGATAATCTTTCTTTTTATTTAGAAGTTAATTTCTTTTACCCTTCCTGCTTTCAAGTTAGATCTGTGATTTCATATTTCCAAAGAATGAATGTGGCACCCAGCAGGAAGGGTGTAGGCAACAGGACAAGGGAACAGTGTTGCTGTGCTCTCTCTGAGTGCCAGGGAATTTGAGTAGCTGTAAATTTGTTAGATTCTTCCTTATCCCTCAGCCAGGTGAAATTTGAGGAAGTGAGGGAGAAAAGCAGTTTAGAAGAGGGGAGGCACAACAGCATAAAGAAAAGGAATATTATATTTGAGAAAACCAAAAGAAATTGAAAAGCGGACAGAGATGAAAAAGGAGGTGAGAGGATGGAAGCAGTAACTGAGGAGGGAGATGGTGGAAGAGATTTACAAAAGCTGGAGCAAAACAAGGCCAGGGAGGCCACTGCTGTAAGAACTAAGGGTGGAAATAAATGCTTGAGGATTTTAGCAGAATGTGTGCATGGATGATGAGCCTTCGTACCCCCAGGTAGTTCAGTGCACCCGAAGATGTGCTGGTGCAGGAAAGCAGTTCTGTAAGAGAATGTCCAAGGGCCAGTAGTAAAAATAGTTCCTCTTGTGTGCAAAGAAGGCTCATTTCTGAGAGTCACAGCTGCTGCTCTTCTCAGTGGGATGGGATCTCTTACAGGTTACCCAAAGAGGGGGAGAAAAGGGGGCCACTGGTGAGATGAGAAGCATGACACACGTGGAGCAGTGTCCTTGGCATGTCTCTCTGGTGCTCTCTCAGTACAGCATGTTTGAGCCCACCATCCTTGTTTGCCTGCTTTTTTCCTTAGTTGTCCCTTGCCAGCAGTTGTCCGTTGTTGCTCGGTCTCATCTCTCTCTGGCCTTGGTGGCTCAGTTACTGATGGTTACTCTGAGACTGGCTGGAGGATAAGAACCCTCTTAATGCTCACCTTCTCTGAGACACTGGCTAAGAAACCAAATGCTCTTGCTTGAGCCCATCTGCTGTCTCCACTTGCCATCTCCATAGCAGCACCTAGAGCAGCTGGAGGTGTCAGAGCAGGTGAGCCCCAGCTCTGATCTCTGTGCTTTTCTCTCCCAGGTGGAGCCTGAGCAGCCTGAGCATTGTGCTGGGCTGAGGAGCTCTCCATAACCTAGTTTCCCTAGCAACAGTGGGCTCTTTAATCACAGAGATACAAGGCTACCTCTGTTCCTGGTGCTAAGGCTTGTGTAGTGTATCTGGCTGTGGCAATATTTTGCTTCTGTTGGAAAAAATGGCAGAATAAAAGCGAGAAGGTCTTTCTGCCTTTGAGATAATTAAGATCTCCATAGGTGGATTTCAGTGCTGTGTGCAGCAATAATAAAAAGAAGAGGGATTATAACTACTTCTAAGCTTTTTAATGTGTGAAGGATCCCTGGAGGATACAGAAATAAAGTTTTAAATTCTGTGTGGAGCTTTATGCGTAGATCTCATGGCAGTCTGTGACACTGATAGATTCATTCCTTGTTGAGATGTGTTATTTTCATTTTTATGGATAGGGAGATGAAGTGATTCAAAGGTAGGCTGAATCTTGTTGCAAATCTGCCAATAAGTCTCCTCTTCTGAGCTCACGTCCTCCACCTGCCCTTTCCTTCTCTTTCAGGTAGAGGTGTCCCTGTGCAGTGGGAGACACAACATGTAAGGGAAGGTAGAAGTGTGAAGCTGTTTTTTAGCAGGAGAAAGTGAGGAAAGTGGAAATACTGTGATTCACTGCAAGGCTTTCTGCTAATGTATTTTAGTCTGCATTTACTCCCCCATTAACAAAAGTGGAGCAAACTATAAATTTTGCAAGTGAGCATTGGGAGTGAAAGAAATATATTCCTGCCTTAATTTCTGCACAGAGACTTTGTCTTGTTACTGCATGTGTACAGGAGAAACTGGTTTGGATAAGAGTAGTTTGAAGAAACTTCTAAAGGAAAAAAGAACTCTTCCTCGAGTTGGCATGAAGCCTACATAAGTGCCCAGTACTGATGTTCCTTCTTGGATAAATGCCAGTGTTAAATTGTCAGTAATGTCTCACAGGCTTGTTGGGTTAGAAAGTTGCACAAGGGACACCTGAGTGAAAACAGGTATCTATACTCTTCCACTGAAGTGATGTGGTGTTCAGATTTTGTGGGTTTGGGTTCTTTTCTTTCTGCTGTGGGGTCTTGTTTGTTTGGGTTTTTCATTATTATTATTTTAATATGGCATAAATAGTGCCAAGATGAAAGGAGGCACTCATCCTCATTCCTACTTATTTTGGTCTCTGGAGTCAAAACAGTCCCTTAACCTTCTGGCCAAACAGAAGACCATCCACCTGTGTGTGAGGAGGGTATTTTTCCTTTTTGGTATTTCCTTGCCTGTTTGGTTGTGCAAGGTGGGGGCTAATGCAGTCTCCTGTTCTGCATCCTTTTAGCCAAAGAATTTTTGAGAGTTCCAGCACGAGATTTGTTTGGCTTGCAGATGTTGCAGAAACTATCCAGCTTTGGGGTATCTAAAAATCTCTTTTGTTTGTGATTGAGCATCCTTATCTCAGCCTTTCAAGCCTCTGGTTACCGAATCAGCTTAGAGGGTGTCTTCTGAATGGTTGTGGAGCTCTGGAAACCTGTAACATCTAGTCTAAGGTTCCCTCCAGAGAACATGTACCTCTGCCCCCCACCCCTCGTTCCTGTGGTCTTGCACAATCTAACAAGTCTTTTGAGGAACTCTGAGAGCTTGAGCACGAGCAGGTGGGGACATGGAACTCACTGAGCTTGTTAAAATAACACTGCCATGGTCCTTCAGCAGCCTGAAGGCCTCCTATCAGGCTGTTATTTAGCTGGGTGGTATTTGGTAGGAGCCGAGACAGAGGCTCGTTTCTACAGTGAGTGCATTGTTGGGTTTTCAGTATATTGTTTGTGTAAATTCCCTAGACCAGCTCTCCCTCCTGAAACAGCCACATGGATCAAGTTTTATTCTGTTCCACATAAAGTTCACATCCTTTACTGGAATGAGTCATGCTTTAACTGAGTTTACTGTGAGGGAAGAAAGTGGGCTTTAAAATGTTACTCCTCCACCCTGCCTTAGTGATGTATAACAGGATTATTAGTATGCTTGGCAGCAGCTGCTTATTATTTTCACAGAACCTGAATATTTGTGAAAACAAGTAAAAAATTGGTTCTACTTGTGTTGAAGTGTAATTATTTTTATTCTTCTTTGTAGTTTTGTCTTCCATAAAGCTCACCAGCTGCTGTAAAAGTGGATCTCGCTTATCTCCTTGGAGTTATTTTTCAGTTTTGGGAGAAGAGTGGCATTCTGTGACTTGTAGCTGAAAGAGGAGGGGGAACTCTCCCATTGTGTGGTCAGTGGCCCACACTTGGCTGTTGCTATCACACACAGGACACTTCTGGACACTGAGAGGTGCAGGGGCTTCCCAAGCCCATGGAGCTCATGGTCTGGTACCACTGTGCAGAAACCAAATTTTGGCCCTGTATATATTCTTTGTGCAGAGAGGTGCAAGACCTTTTAACCTATGGCAGAGGGAGCTACTCACTGTCTGTCCTGTTACAGGTTTTTGCAGAAGCACTCTTTGTATACAGCTACTGAAGATACCAGAACAATTTTACTCCTCGTTTTTCCTGCAGAAGTTCATTGACTAATGACTAATTTGACTCTTCATACCACCATCCTTTGTTTTTTGTGTTTTGGACATGTTGGTTTATTTGGGGGTTTTTCTGGGGGCGAGGGGAGATGGGATGGGCAGGAGGGAGTAGGGTGGTGGTTTGTTCATTTGTTTAAGGAGTTGGGCTCAAAACTGAGGAGGAGGGGCAGCCAATAGAAGAGGCCCTCTTAGGATTTTGGGCTTGGCAGTAAGGTTGGTTCACTTGACATTTGAGACTTTTCTTTCCTGGTCCTCTTGTTCCTGAGTGTCCTGGAGAGAGTTACATTTCTCCCCTGAGCTATGTATTGTCTGTGCTTTCTAAATTGGCAGGGGCATCATCTGCTTATGTTCCATAGAAAAAGTGGAGTCTGTTGTCACAACCTCTGCATTCCTCAACCCAGACTGCACAGCTTTTATGGAGCATGCAAAAGGATTTATTTTGATGCCAATGCTTTTGATGGAAAATGTGAGGGAAAGAGCTGTAATCTGTCTCATAAATATGTCAAGTGCAAAGTATAGTTATTTTAATAGTCTGTGTTGGTGGGCCATCATGGATGTAATTAAGAGACAACTAGTGTTAGAAAGGACTTTACTTTTTAGGACTTAGAATGAGTGAAATGAACTTTTGGTGACAACATAAGTTTAGTTAAATTTATGCCTCTACTGTATTTAACTATTTACGCCTCTATTTAACTATCAGCGACTCTGGGTTTACTGGTGAGTGCTGTGGCAGCTGGGAGGCAGTGCCTGGTGGAGCAGGCTGTCTCCTGGAGTGTGAGCAGACAGGTTTCTCTGTGTGTTTTGCAGATGCCCCGTTTGGGGGGACACCGCCCGGCTACGCGTACGATGCCGACCGCGCCGAGGAGCAGAGGAGACACCATGACATGATGCCCTACATCGATGACTCGCCGTCCTCCTCACCACACCTCAGCTCCAAGAGTCGGGGCAGCCGAGACACTCTGTCCTCAGGGTCTCTGGAATCTACAAAATCAGTGAGTTCCTTTCCTTTTTTCCTCTGTGAATTTTAGTGGAGAGAATTGGTGATAGTTGCAGTTGAGAGGGTCTCTAAATAACAGGTATTTTGGACAGGAGGCTGCGGAACAAAACGTGTTCATACATCTCTGCGTGTGGGTTGTCATTGCCTTTCACAAGGAAAATAAAAGGGGTTTTCAGGTAGGTTGAAGGTTTTGATAAAGCATCTAGAATACAGGAGCTATTCCCTTCACCCTGTGAAAGTGGAATAAGAGGAATTAAAACTGCCAGCTCTGAAATGATGACTTTGGGTGGGAGAGCCACTGCTTGTGGTGGATTTGACTATTCACTAAATAGCTGCCTATATACTGGTAGATAAAAGGTGCAGAAGACACTGCCTAGCCTGACCTCTGGTTTAATGTGGCCCTTCAGGCTACCTTGCTTTATTTTTGTTTCAGGTTCAGTAGTGTGGCTATAGCTTGGAACTTACAGAACAATTCTATTTTTGTTCTTACAGTAGTCTTGGTAGTGAGTCTGCAGTATGCCTTGGTAAATAACTATTGGCTTTGCTGTCTTCACAGTCAAAAATATCTTAGTTTCAGCTTGAATTAGTCTCTTTGACTTTCAGCCTTTGTTTCTGTTTATCCTTTTGCAATAGACTGAGAGCACTTGAATCCCGAGTTGCTGTTCCCTTGAATATCTTTGTCATTTGCAGACTTCAGGTTACCTCAAGTCATTCATAAAAATGCTTAATAGCACCAAGCCAACTGTCACTGCCTTCCTGCTGTGTTTCTGAGAAAGTGTGGCCAACAGCCTTGAATTCCCACATTGTGAATAACACTTGGAAATCTGTCATCTAAGTAGTTTAACTTATCTGTTGCTTTAGATTGTTCTGTCCTATTAATTAAGAAGAAAAGGATGGATATTTTACAGGTATCAGCGTACAAATCAACACCATCACTTTTATCAGTTTTATTTATCTTGCCTCAAAACTCAAGAGTCTGACAAGTTCCACAAGCCATTAGTGCCCAGTGTTCATTACACACATCCTTCTACTCCTCTTTATTGGTTACTGCCACATCATATGCCTTTTCCAGGATGAATTCCAGATTAAGAATCCTTCTTGAGACAGTGTTTTTGTTCTTCTTTCTCACTTATAAAAATGCATTGTCAAGATCTCTCAAAGCAGTATCAAGCAGATATATTGTTGATGTTTGCTTAGTTTTACTTGACTGTAAAGTGTGGAATCTAGTTAGCTGCTTATGCTTTAGTCTATTAATTTTGAGATGCTTTTTTATCTCTTAAGATGAGAATTCTTGTGATATGTAAGAGGCTTTTGAGTGAAGAAATTATCATTAGTAAATGCAAAAAGCTTCAAGAACATTTTAATATTGGCTTGAGATTTCCAGGTTATGTTTCTCAGAATGAAGGAAAAACGCTATGTGACTACACATGGCTGGGAGTTATCTTCAAAGGACCAGTTGTCATAGTGCCTGTGACTGGAGGCCTGGAAGAAACACTGCCTAATATTTAATCTTGTTCTTTATTTGTTTGAGTATTGCCTCATAAGCAGTTACCAGCAGTTAATTTCAAAGTTCCTTTAATAATGCTAGAAGGCCTGCCTTTTCAAAAATAATTTTGAACATAAATGGCTGCTTTCTTCTCTCAGACTATAAAAAGATGTTTTATGGCTTCCAAACGAAAGAGGTGTCCTGATACAGATTGGACTTTTAATCGTGAACCTCAACTGCTTCAGTCGGTCCCATCTGTGATTAGTCCACAGTTGACAATGCCACTGATTAAGGACGATCCATGACAAGGAGGAAGAGACTAATTTACATATAGTTGCAGTATTTCCCAAGCAAGTTAAACTTTCTGTCATCACGAGTTGTTAGAGGGCTTTTGCTGTAGTTCTGTTTTCAGCTGCAGTGGAAAAGACATCAGTAACAGAATTAAGTGTCAAACACACTGTGCTGAGCCAAGCGCATAAAATGTGTCAGACCAGAAATACCAGGATGCACATCTATTCTATTTTCTTTTACACTAAACTTGATTAGCAGAAAACATGTTTTGTTTACATGTGTTTGCTTTTATAGTTGTCTCCTGCTGTTTTACTTTTTCCTTAGGTGCTTGCAGTTACTTCTGAAAATTTTAGATTATCCTTATGACCAGAGTCTGGAAATCAAGTTAACCCTATGTAACAACACAACATGCACTACATACACTACTTTGAAGAAATATTAAGATTGTGAAGTCATTCAGAAGTTTAGAAATTACTCTGGTTATCCAGCCTTGCCTCATGCCATAGCCTTGTCTTGAATCTTAGCGAAAACCTTGAATTACTCAGTCATCCTGTTTTCCCTATGGGGCTCCTGCATTGTGCAGTGAACACAGTGAATGATACTCACTGGATTCAACATTTCACCCCTGGAGCTGTGTGTGCACCTTATTTATGGGGCACTGCAAACTCTGCTCTGAGTTCTAAAGTATTCATTTCCTAGTGGCGTGGCCATTAACTGCAAGTACAGTTGGAATGCTACACAGGTCTTAATTATCCTTGCAGTGTTCCTGTGAGATAAGAGGATGGTATGTTCACTAACCACAGGTAATCAAGGCAGACAGGTTATAGGAAAAGCATCTGCTAATTTGGGGTGCTTAATGTGAGATGTGTAATCTTCTGCAAAACCAGGTTCTGACTTTTAGTACAGTTTTCTTCACATTTAAAGTAAAATACCTTTGTTTTCACTCATAACCAAGAGTTAACAGCGCTCCAGTCAGACACCCAAAAAAGTGGAGAACAATGCAAACAATGATATTTTTATTCTCAGTAATTCACTTAGCATCACACAGACATAGAAGCATTTTGGTGTGATGTTCATCTGCCTTATCCACGAGATCAGCTTTCCTCTTGGATACTGGATTGTTGCTATCTGGATATTGAGGGCATCTTGCTTTGACTTATTTTATGGGCTTGCTCTGGGCTTTGTATTTTTCTGCCAAGTATTGACTGAGTCCTTCCATCTCCTTAGAGCATCTCTATCCTTTGGTTGGATGGCACATCAGGATTCTGTCCAGCCACCATAGGGAAAGTGCAGAGTGGCCAAAGCAGTGCTTCTTTCTTTCTAAAAGAGAATGAAAGGATCCCTCCTTTACTACTTATAGAGGGGCATCCTGTTTCTCCCCCAGTGTGTAGGGTGACCAACTCCCAGCACCTCATGTCAGTGTTCCAAGAGCTGAGGGTCGCAATGAACTTCCAAAAGGTTTGTGGTGCTCTGCACCTTCTCATACGGGGAGTGTTTTCTAATCCCTCTCACCACCTCCATCATATAAGCAGATGAAAAGATGCTGCCCTCAAACTGTGCCATTTTAGCACCTCTCGTGATTCACATTCCACTGGGTGTCCACTGTTGGTGTCCCAGGAGGGTGACAAGTGGTGCACCAGCATCAGTTTTGTCTGTGAACCAGAGAGGGCATAAGCAAGGTGGCCATTTGTAGTGTGGATCTCAGCATCCCTTGACTTGTCATTTTTGTGGTAAGGAGACCTTAACAAGTGTTTGCATTGAGCAAGAGAGGTCGTACCCCTTCTTCTGGCTCTTCCAGGGTCTCATGCTGGGCTGCTCATGTGTGTCCTGGCATAAGCTTTTACCAAACTTTGCCTGCTGCTCTGAAGCAAACCTACAGGGAGAGAGAGAAAAGGAGAAATAGGTTCCACTGATGCTGAAGTTGTTTGTTTATTTAACATGAGAAGTGGTTTAATTTTCCCAAACCTTTCTTTCTGTAACAGTTGAACTTTTGTGATTGAATTTTCCAAAAATTCTGGAAACCTCTCTTGGAAAATGTCAGCCCAAATGTTTGCCAAATAAGACAGTGCCAGTAGCTTCAGAAGGTGTCAGACAGTGTTGGTAAAAGGTTGTGATACTTCAATCCCAGAAGGAGGGAGAATGTGTCTGTCTTTCCCCTACAGCCGGAGAGAACGGTAGAGAAGATACCTGAACAGAGTTAGAGGAGAACAGAGGGAGAGCTTGCTACAGTATTCTTAGGACACAGGAAAGTGTTGGGAGGGCTGGAAAGTTGGTGACTGACATCATTCAGTAGAGAAGAGTGATTGCCAAGAGTTTTGGAGTGGGTAGCTTGCAGCCTGGAGGCTAAAGAGGATGGGAAGCTTAATTCATTGTGATCCTACTGCTGCTACTCATATGAGGAGAGATTGCAACCAAGAGAAGAGTAGAAATAAGAATGGCCTTTCAAGATCTGCTCACCAGCAAAGCCAGGCTCGGAGATGTGGAGGTGGGTGCAGGTGCAGGACAGCAGTGGGAAGGCAAAGCTCGTTCCACCCCCCAGGAGAGGAGTCACTTTTCAGTGCAGATGAACTTTTGCCAAAATAGATCTCTCCAATTCTTGCCCATATCACACCAAGGGAGGCAGGAGTGCTAAAGCTGAGCGACCACCTCCTGCTGTCTGCTCTGTTTGGAGCAGAAATTGGCTGGTACTTATTGATTTCCAGGTAGAATTTCTCTTCCCTTTCCTGCTGTGCAGTCCATGGTTGGTGCAGCATTGGCAGCCATTGCTTTTCCTCAGATCAGATCCTTTTGTCCTTGCTGTCTGCCAGCTCAGCAGAGAGCAGAGCTGTGGCAGAGCAGGCTGTGGGTTTTGCTCCTAGCTTGGTCCCAAGGGGATCCAGAGAAGTTGACCTCTGAAGCTACAGCAATAAATGGGGTTACTGCTCTGCTTGTTACTACTGTTGCTAGCTTGTCCTTCTTTCTCCAGTGTTTCCAAATCCTTCTCCTTTCTTCCTCTCTGTATTTGGGTTGGTTTGTTTGTTTTGTTTTACTGTGGCTTTCTCCTCACCACCCCCAACAGATGCAGTTTTTCCTTTTTATTCTCCTATTCTTTGCTCCTTAAGGGCTCAGCCTGGATGTACAGCCCTTCCTGAGGAGAGCTGGCACACCAGTACTGATGTTATAAATAATGTTGGCTCCTCTCCCTGCTCCTTCCCCTCCCTGCATGGAGCATGATTGGCTTGATTACAGAATTTGCCCTGTTTAATATCACCAAGACAATGAGACACCTCCAGCCTGTTTAGCAGAAGCTTACAAATATATTTACACTTTAAAAATGGAAATGAATAGCTTTTCTCCTCTGTAGGCTCTCAGGTTCTGTGTGAGATTCAGAGCTGTCCTTACGGGAAGCCTCTCCTTTGAGCACATTCATTGCCCGGTGTACGAACACACTGTACCAAAGGAAGAGTTAAAGTGCCTTTTATACGCCCACTTTGAATCCCTGATTCTCTTTACAGAGCTGTGCCAGCAGCAACCTCTTTGCAAAATCTTGTGTATTGTGGTTTCTAGATCCTTAATCTGTGCTCTTCTAACGTTTGCAAGAAAACAATTATTGCTGTTAATTTAAACAAAAAACAGAAAGCCCTCAGTTCTAAACAGAGTCAGGAAGAGCCGAATCTGTCTAATCCTTGGAGCTGGTGAATGTTGGCCTTGCAGTAACTGAGCACAACATGTGATGCCAACCTGGTTAGTAAACTAAAGTGCTTGGGCTGACAGGCTGCAAACACATTCAAAGCAGCCATGGCTTGGGGCCAGTGTGTGTGCTCTGATATCTCCAGAGCTTCCAACCGCTCGGTCTGGCCGTGGGTCAGGTCCCAAGGTTGCACTTACTATGGCTGTGACTCAATCTTCTGGTTTTTAAGTCTTTGGAATAGCAAAAAGCACCACCCAGTTGAGAAGAGAACACTAGAATTGTATAGGCATGAGGTGCCTGTGACACTGCCTTTAGCCTGCTTTCCACCTCCTTTTTGGTGTCTGTTTTTTTTAAATGTAATTCATAAGGAGTGGGAGCAAGGCACTGATTCCTTGCTTGCTTGTTCAGGTCTGGCTGGGTGTTGGATCCTCACAGCTCCCATGGCAGGGAGACAGGAATGCTCTGGCTGCTTCCCTGGTACAGTCTTGTAATATTTATTCTGAAACACAGGGGTGGAGAGGTAGCCAAAAGATGGAAGGGCAGTGGAGAAAGGCTAGACATGGACGCTGGCATCAAAGAGGCAGGGATGGTCAGAACATGAAATACTAGTCAGACTTGTACAAGTGAAAAACAAGCTAACCAAGCTGGGTAGGAAGCATGGGATGGACTGCTGACCACCTGGCACTCCCTGCTGAGTGGTTAGAGTTTGCCAATACAGGCTGCTCCCACTTCCTGCTGGGAACATCCCATCTGCACTGTGGTAATAGGTGTATTATTCCCTAGCTAATGTGGTCTGGTAGATGTGGTACATCTCCTCCCCTTAGCACAAGCAGCTCAGAGATTTCAGACTGCTCCCTTCTTGCCAGGGTGGGGAAAGGAGTCCTCAGCCTTGGCAGGTCTCCCTGTGCTGGTGAGGAGCTTGATACCTCTGCCCAGGATGTCCCCTCTGAACTGCCCTTCTGGCTGGAGTGCAGGAGCTGAGCAGGCAGGGAGCTGTTGTCACAGTGTTGTTCTTTGTTACCCTTTTGTGTTAGATATGGGCAAAGCAGAAATGCCCTTGGCAAGGGGTGCTGCAGGGGGACGGTGGAAGGGCAGTCCCACAGGATCTGTGCCTGCTCACTGCTGTCTTGTTCCAGGTAAGCAGGTGAGCCTGTTCCCAATTCTGTAAGTGAGGAATGTTGTAATACCAAAGAATAAACTTACTCCTCTTCCTCCTGATATTGGCACCAGCTCCCAGTGAATTTTTCAGTCTTGGAGTATGTTTCATAACAAGTGTGACTTAAAAAGCACCCTGAGGCTGAAGGAGCACTGGGGCTGTTTTCCAGATGTTCATTCTGCTCTGTGCAGCCCCAGCTGACATTGCCAGCAAAAGCTCCCTCAGCAGGACCTCTTGTCAGGACACAGGCTCCCGGGAGCAAACACAGCAGCACCAAGGTGGTGTATTGATCCCTGGCACAGCAGGAGCAGCAGGAGATCATCTTTTCACATAAGAGGAGGCTGTATGTAAATTTGAGGTATTGCATTGGAAATCCGATAACATGCCATGCGATTGTTGGATAAACTTCCCTGAGGGTTCCTTCAGCAACTGCTGTACCCAGACTAAAGCAGGCAAGCCCTGCCCTGGCTGGCTGTGTCTGAGGCTGGAGTTTTGCAAACACCACACTTGAAAAAATGCTCCTATTAAAAAGGTTTAGGACAAAACCGTGGACTTTGCACAGTGCCTGTGCGGTAATGGCCAGGAAGGAAGGCCTCCAGTGTGTCCTGGGAGATGTTTGTCTCTGAAAGCACATCTCTTTTAGAGGGAGGAAATTAACATTCAGGCAGAAAATGCTGCTCTGTCAGCCCAGCAAGAACTGGCTGGTAAATTAAAGCTTTTACTTGTGAAGAGGAAAACTGTTCTCAGTGCTGTAAGGAAAACTGTTGTGCCACTGTGGTGATGGGGAAGTTTGAATCATTTAAATGACTTGCCATTGTGTGCTGCTCTTTACAGATGTTACAAACAGACCCAGCTGGTTTTTAAATCCTCACCTCCTCCAAGAGAACCTGCTAAATATAATTATAGTGCTGTGTCAATATTGACCAGTTACCTCATCCTCAGCAGTGGGGACTTTGGAGCACTGTTAGTTTTCGTCAATGCTTCTTTGTGTAGCTGCACTTTTCTTTTGTAAGTGTTGTAAGAAATCTTTCGAAACCAAGAGCAATTGTGTTTCTCTTGCACCAGCACTGCTACATCCCTTCCTCTTTGGATGAAGGCAACCTTTGTTTAATGTCTTGAGGCTGTCTGTCTTGATTAGGCGTGCATACCATGCCTTAAAAAATGGTCCATGAGCTGGACATCCAGGCACTGCTGGCACAGAAACCATAAGGAATGGTCACAGTGTTGTTGGACATTTCTGTTTGAGCTGTGCAGGCAGCCACACGGGTGCTCTGGAGATGCACAGAGGCTGTTGCAGCTCATTTCACCATGTAGTTTGTCACTGGTTTTCTGCAATCTTCTCAACACGACTGCTGAATTACAAATCCTACCTTCTTTGAGATGCCCTTTCAAGATTTTGAAGGGCACTGTGGTTCTTACTGAACGTCACCAAAGGGTGGGATGCAAAGACAAGTTCTTCTTTCCATGCAGTACCTGACGTGCGTGTAAATGTTACGCGTTTCCTTAGAACAGCTTCTGTCTGCCACTTTTATTGAAGAGGTGATGGTGGTATTTGACACCTCACGAAATTTTTATAAAGTAGTTGCTGGAAGTCTTTTAGGCTAGAAAATAGCTTGTGAAATTTAATGAAAGCGTTCAGGAATCAGGATGGTTATTGATGAGACTGAATCCAGAAATATCTGGGAGCGTGAGATCTGTTTCTTTCCTCGGGTGGTGCGTAGGCTCAGAGTCGCACTCAGGATGTGATTGCTTTCCTGCAGGCTTTACCTATAGCCCAGATGCCTTCTGTCCATCATGAACCTCATCTATACATCTGCAGGGTTCAAGCACAGGACCCTAAACTAAGTGGAGCCTTTTTTTGGCAGCTCTAGGGCTTTATGTTCAGTCAATAGAGTGGAGCATCCTGCTGTGTTTCCTGATCCTCCCACTGCTGAAATCAAAAGCTTGAAGATTCCTCTGGATATTAAGAGGAGTAGGATGGAGTCACAAACAACCTACCCAAAGACCTTGAAAAGTACCCTTTCAGAGCCAATTACTGACTCTATTCTTAGAGACATTTAATAACATAAAAAGCTTGCAGGAATTGTAACAAGCTATTTCTGTGAATGACAGAAATAAAAAGAACTGGAAATACGAATCTGTGAAAGGGGGATGTTTCTCATTATTTATAACCTTCTGTGCTTGGCCACATTTTTGTGGAAACACTCGGTTTCACTTTATCAGGTTAAACACTTTTTCAGGTAACAATTTTGAGAGGAAACAATTAAAATTCAACAGAGGGGATGACTGCTTCTCTTAACACTTCATGCTAGTCTTCCTCATTTGCCCATGTATTTATGTTTGGGTTTTTTTCCTCTTTTTCTTCGGTTGTTTTGGTTAAGAACTCCTTCATGGAATCCCAATAAGAAAATCAGCATGTGCGTTCCAAGCAGTGCTGATTATTCCATCCTCTCACTAAAAATAGACATTGTTCAAGCTGGCATTGAAAGATAATTTAGTGAATATTAGAGAGTGGGAGAAGGAACAGCCATCTGGGAGCCGTGGCAGGCTGGGGCTGCGCTGTGTGTGCACACCTGTGGAGATGCAGGGGCAGTGCTCCTTCTGCACGGAGAAACACGGCTTTGGAGGGCTCTCGTGGGAGGGGGGAGGGAATGGCACACAACAAGGCTCCTGAGATTTGTTTAGGAGGATAAATTCTGAGTTTTTAAGTTCTGTGTTTTGAATTTTGTGAAGAGGCCTGGGCACCTAATTGAGGCACCGAAGTCGGATGACTAAAGCTAATAGCTGTAAATAATCTAAGTGACATCAGTTGCTGGTAAATAAGAATTTCTTTAATGTTTTATGTTTCCATATTGCTAGAAACAGGATTCTGAACGCAGGTGGGTTTTTTGTTTGGTTGGTATTTTTTTAGTCTGAAAGTAAACAAAAAACCCAAGTATGCTCTGGTCAACTGAATGGTATCTTTTACTCCATCTTTATTCTTGGGTTTTTTTCTTTCTCTCTGCCCCCCAGTCCCTTTTTAATACTTTTTTTCTTTTTTCTCTTTACCACCTTCTTTGTAGAGCGAGCCAGACCTGGAGAAAGGCCTGGAGATGAGAAAATGGGTCCTATCAGGAATCCTAGCCAGTGAGGAAACCTACCTGAGCCACCTGGAGGCCCTGCTGCTGGTAAGAACTGGGGCCAGATGCAACTTTGAACACTGGCACTTGAATTTTCACTGCTGCTTCCATCCAGAGTTCGTAGAACTTCACATACACGAGTTATAGGTGTGAAGGGTACCTGTTCCTCCTCTTCTCCAGTAGAGAAAGAGAGGATTAAAGGAAGGGCTGCATATGGCAGAACTAGGGAGTTATTAATGTGGTAGTACCCAGGAGCTCTGTCTTTAAGTGTCCTGTGCTAATTATTAGACACGTTGCTGTACAGTTGGACAGAGATTAAGGAAATGAAGTGCAAAGGGATTTTAATTGCATCATTAATACCCTGGGAAAATCCACCTACTGGGGTGGCTGATCCCCATGAGAGAACTTGTTCATGTCTAGCTTTCAGGAGTTGTGTGAATGCAAATATCACTTATTAATAGGATGAAAAATAAATCTATAGAGGGATGTGTTGCAATGTGAGAAGGGTGAATGTACATGATTTGCATGATAATGATTTCCGTTTTTCCTCATTTCAGCCCATGAAGCCTTTGAAAGCTGCTGCCACCACCTCTCAGCCTGTGCTGACCAGTCAGCAGATTGAGACAATATTCTTCAAAGTGCCTGAGCTCTATGAGATCCACAAAGAGTTCTACGATGGGCTCTTTCCCCGAGTGCAGCAGTGGAGTCACCAGCAACGTGTGGGGGACCTCTTCCAAAAGCTGGTGAGTCAGCTGCCATCACCAGAGTTTCTGGTACCTCTGATCCAGCTCACAGGAGCTGGTGGGTTCCCTCTGGTGACTGTGCACAGACTGAAGGGATCAAAGCCCATGGCTGGATTAGAGGAGAGGCTTCTCACTTTGCCACTGCAGTGAAGGGCCTACAGCAAAATGGCTCTTTCATTGTCCTTAATTAAAGACTCCAGCAAGCTGTGGTGCTAAAATAAATACAGTTTCACAGAAATATTGGATCTCCAGAGTCTCTGCAGCACCATCAAAGCATTTGCTTTAGAGGAAGATGGGAGAATGGCAGTATTACAAAGTGAACTTTCTAACACTGACAGTGAACTGTTTCTCATTACTGTTGAACTCCCTCACATACTTCCTTCTCTCAGTGATGCTTTGCTCTACCTTGTGCTGATTTGTGGTCATCACCTTTGACTTTGTTTCTCTGCCACCATCCTGGCCTTTGTATTCCCCTTGCTGTTATGCTGATGCAGTCAACCTGCAGCTGAGAATCCTCCAAGCAACCTCAACAAAATTCTCTGAGTGCAGAACAGGACAAAGACATATACAGCATATTCCTGAGGCTGAATTAAAATTGCTGGGTTTCTGAGCCAGATGACAAATTGTTTGCATTCTAGGAGATTTCTTTGGCCCCTTTAGCCTCTCCCCTAGCATGTGCAGAGAGCAAAGGATTAAAGGAGCTGTTTTTTCCTTTTTAGAGAAGAAAAAGAATCTCTGCATTCCGGAGGTGCCTCTGATTCTCAGGGTAGGAGTGACATTCCAGTGAGGGGTTTATTGGCTGGGGAGTGTATTTTCCAGGGTCAATCAATTGTTAGCAGCTGTGTAGCCCAGCATCAGCCCCATCCCCTGTGGAGCAGGGGGAGCTGGCCCTGGAAGATGATGTTTTCTGTGCATGCCAGCAACTCAAGATCAAAATAAGGGAATCTGCTTTTCACTGCCAACATGTTTTAGCCAGGAGGGGTCAAGTTGGTGCCTGGGTAAGTAGTTCATGGTATGCAATTTGAGCAGCTGGTTTAAGAAGACAAACCCAGCTGCTGCTGGTTGCTGAAGCAGAGATACAAAGGCTGCTTGAAGTGGCAGCCTCACAGACTGCACTGGACAGGCAGTGCAGCAATGGAACAGCACTAATTGAAGAGGACCTGAGTGTGTTCCTGGGCAGGGCTGGCTGTCGAGCAGCCTCCCCTCACTGCACAGCTCCTCAGGCTCGTTTAGGACCATTCCTTGCTGCTGGGTGATCACAGGTGCAGGAGTTAAGCCCTTCTGGCACTCTGCTTTTATGTTCCCCTGATTTTTCTGCATTTGTGACAGAATTGTTGATTTTGTTGGATTAGCACTGGAAGCAGAGGAGCAAATTGCCACAGTTCAGGAAGCTTTGAGCTGCCATAGCAGCTTCAGTTTTGGGTGGTTTGGTACAGCATCAGTGGGAATTGCAAACTCTTTCCTGGATGAGATAAAGCTAATAATTCTTGGCAGGCATTGGGAAGCAACTAGATGAGAGAGACAGCAAGAACATCAGGCATTACAAGGCATCTATACTGGATGTACATCAAATCCTTTGGAGCAGACTGTTTACTCGTGGTCGTGTCATGCAATCTGATGATAAACACTGCAATACTTGTTATTATCCAGATGTCCCTGGGGACATTAATTTTCTTTATATCACGCAAAACACAGCACGGTAGATTGAAGCTAGAGATAGTGGATATAAAGAGTTTTAGAATTTCATGTGTTCTGGCACAAAGTACGATCTATTTGCAACATCAAATTGACTGTTATTACACCTTTTCCCGTTGAAACGAAGGAAAAGATGCTAGGCATGTGGGAGTGAAATATGCTTCTCATTTTTGGGGAATATATTATACATATTTCTTTTGTAACTAGAAAGGGAACTGTTTGGAGCTGTTTTTAGAAATTAAGAAATATTTAGCAAATATCCTCACTGATGGGTTTCAGGAATAGAAAAAAAACTTATCCAAAAGCCAACTATTTCTACCAAATCTTGTTTAATTTTCACTGTGCTCTTTTTAATTGAAAACCAGAAAAATTAAATCAGCGTGAAAGCAGTGTGTGATCATCATTTGCTTTGATTGGAAGCTCAGTTTTTAATGAAAAAGTTGTCTTTGTGATGGCACATTTAGAGGAGGAAAATGAAAGCTTAGAAAGACTGTTCAGGAGTAGCAGGAAATGAAAGAACCACCCAGGAATGGAGAAACTCCAAAGCCCTGCCATGTTAGCTGGGATCATCCAAACCTGAATGTCATGAGCCCTGCAAATGATCAGTAGTTCTGGCAGCAGCTTCTTCACAGGATTGTGCCCCTGTGCAAATGCAGATTTCATTCTCTCCTTTGCTGCCAGGGTCATCCCTGCTATAAGTGAGCAAAGTTTTCTTCAGCTTCAGTCATAATTGTGTGATTTTGTATGAGGGTTGAGATTGGTTCCTGGTCTTTCAATAAAATGTGACCTAGGAAATAGCCTCACTGTTTCTCAGCCTCTGTCAGCTAAAGAAATTTTTTGGAGGGAATGTTCTCCTGAGAGTGGCTTTTTCTGTTCCATTGTCTTTTGCACAAAGCTCCACAGAGAGCTTTGACACAGTGGTTGTGAGGGAAGGAGCACTGGCTGAGGGGAAGTAACTGCTCTGGCTGTTCCACATCTCAGGCAGGAGGGTCAGGGAAGGTGCAGAGTCACCAGGTGAGTGCAGCCCTCCTGGTACCAAAGCCCTCTCAGTGGACCTTTCTCAGCGCTCCAGCCTGGGCTCTGCCGATGGCACTTGCAGGCGTGTTGGAGCTGCTGAGGGGTTTACACACAGCTGTGCAGCTCTGCAGCACAAAGCCAGCTCTGCACTCCAGACAAGCTTGGAAGCTACCCAGGGATTTCCCAAGCTGGATCTTATGTTCTCTGGCATGAATATGGCTGCAATTCCTAAGTCAGCAAGCGGGATCAGTGCTAAGATTCTGTATAATAATGATTTATTACTGCACTCTGAGGCCTGTTCCGTCCTCTTCTGGACCAGTCGCATCATCCTTCTGCTGGAAAAACTACCATTTTCTGTCACCCAGTGCCACGGTCACTGCCTTTCAAACAGATTGTGCTCTGGATCTCTCTTCTGTATTTTCAGCACTCTGCTGCCCTTATAACAATGCTCATTAATGCAGATATGGGCTAATATCTGGGTTTGATTTACTATATGCATCATACAGAAGCCAACAAGTAGCTTACTGGGGTCACATTTGTGCTGTTGGGCTGAATCATTCCTGATTCATATGTTGTGGCAAAAAGCCAGCAGTTCTAGTTACATCAATGAGCTAAAAGTTTAATAGATACTAATCTGGCAGCTCAGAAGGGAAAAATAGATGTCAGTAATAAGGATGTGTCATTCTAGCAGCCTTTCACATCCTTCACAAGTAAACTTGTTCAGCGTGGATGGAACTGGGTGCATGGGGGCACCAGTGCTGGTTAGACAACACTGACAGGTCAGAGGTGTCTTTCTGGGCCTGCTTAGCATTCCCTGCAGTTCTTTGGTGTGAAGGCACATGACCTGGTCATTAGATACCAAGGCTGACCATCCCAAACTGTCTTCTTCCCCAGCACTTATTTCATTTTGTTTTGCTTCCTGCAGGCCAGCCAGCTGGGAGTGTACCGGGCCTTTGTGGATAACTATGAAGTTGCCATGGAGACAGCAGAGAAATGCTGCCAAGCCAATGCTCAGTTTGCTGAAATCTCTGAGGTAATGTCACGGTATTCAGACACACGAGCGTCTGGATCTGACTAATCCCCCGCCATGTCACTCCTGTCTGTGCCCCAGGTATCTCTGCAGCCCTGGCTCCTGGAGGAGTGGTGAGCAACCATGGACCCACTCCTCCAGCTCTTGTTCTTACAGCCATTTGGGCTGATGGAGGTTATCAGAGACAGCCTTTATGTAGGGTCCTCACCCAGGGAATCTGGTGAGAGCTGGCATTGCCTTGAACTTGTTCAGCTCTGTGCCACCTTCATACATTTCTAGAGGGGAAGCTGTGAGTTTCTCAGATGTTTCTCTTGCTAATGATGATGCAGACTGTGGTGTAAAAAACCATCCTTAATGGCTTGCACTGTGGCTGTCAGTGGGATTGCAGCTTCACTGGCATGGAGAGGTAGCTCTCTGTGTGAAAAGGCAAGTGTGTTAACAGTAATGCTATAATGCTGTTTTTGGCCTACTCTGATTTCCTCCCTTTCAGAGGAGTACCTGTGTCAAAGCATCTTGAAGACTTCTTTTATGCTTCCGAGGCCACCAGCTTTGCCTGCAGTGCATGGTCCCATTGACTCTTTGTATTGTGGTGATTATTTCTTGAAGAACTCAGTTGCCAGGAAAACATGGATTTCATATGTGTCTCCTAAAAACAATCAGATAAATAATCAGAGCTGAATAATACCAGGGGCGTTTAGTGCTCTGAGAAATCTCCTGAGTATCTCCTATAGTGCATGTCCCTTGAGATTTCTGTGATAAAGAGGTAAAATATGATCCCTCGGTTTCGCTGTTTCCAAAGGATAATTCTGAAGTCATGCCGGTATTTGGACACTTTTGCACTTGTGTCCTGGTGAGGATTTTGGAGCTGAGCACATTAATGCATGTCGTGGTCCGTGTGCAGAGAGCAGAGTCACAGACAGTGTTCCTTTGCTGTCGTGAAAGAACTGACGTGTCCAAGGTCACCCAGTTCCGAGTGCAGGTCTAAGGAAGCATAACCTGGGGGTACTGAATCCCAATCCTGTACTTTATGTGCTGTGACAGCAGCTGTGTCCTTATGGACAGTCTTTCTTCTGCAGGTGATTTAAAAACTCCATCCCTGTAGGAGGTTCCCTGCCCTGCTGCATCTCTATTGGCACGTGCTCCCAACAAAATTGCTTAATATTTGAGATGTGTGGGTGCCTGTGACATGGCAATGATGGATTTACCAAGAAGTAAAGCACATTTTTCCATCACTGACTTGACCTGTGATAGGGCTGTTCTCCTTTCACTCTTAGGCCCTCCCCTGGAGGAGCAGATAGTCTGTTGTGTTCCCATGTGATATTTCAAGGTGATTGACCATCTGCTATGTGGGTTTTCTTCTTTTTCTTTTAGAATCTAAAGGCCAGAAGCACAAAGGAATCTAAAGATCAGACAACGAAAAATTCCTTGGAAAGTGAGTGATCCATACAGAGGAAACTGGTTTGTCAGCACTGTTTGGAGGCTGTTGCCAAACCTCCACTCTCTCTTTTTTTTTTTGAGTGCTGGAAGGTTGTGGAGTCTGCTGGCTCTACCTGGGAAGTAGCAGAGCTCGTTCATAGTAGGCTGTGTGTGTGGATGGAGAAGTGCCTCCCTCATCAGTCCCTTTGGGCAAAACCAGCCCAACCAAAGGGCTGCTGTGATTTTGAGGGAACATCTGCTACCCAGTGATAGCACACATGCAACCCCAGCACTGATTGCTATATGGGTTTTGCCCTATGGTGGCCTCTGAAGAGCCTGGTCAAGATGGGGTTCTGTGGTGCTTGTCTTCTCTGTGTGTCTGTGTGTGCTTTATTGGCTGTACAGCACATTAAACTTTAGAGAAGGGATGTTTCCAGTAGCTCATGGGTTAATAAACCTCTGCCTGTACATTCAGTACACTGGACAAGTTGGTCTGTAGGGACTGTATTTAGGTACTTCTTCCTTACGTTCCTGCTGCTTTTCTTTCACAGCCCTACTGTACAAGCCCGTGGATCGAGTGACTCGCAGCACACTTGTCTTGCATGTAAGTATCTGAAGGGTAGTTTGCAAACTTGAGACCCTTTTCTTGTTTTCTTTGACCTTTAAATTTTCCATGGAGCAGGACTGCAAAAATAAACCTCTTGTGCTGCATAAGAACCTCTTCCCTTTACACTAAGGGGGTGGAGTCCATAGGTAGGATGCTGTTATCTCTTCAATGGTGTCACGGAGAAGTGCAGAGTATTATTATCTCCTAAAGATAAAAAGCCTTGCTCTAATCAGTAAGAAGAAGCTGGAGCATCTTGTCCTACAGCTCTAGCTGGGGGCACTCAAACCCTTCTGCTCTCCAGTGCTGCTCATGGTTCTGTTCTCTGTTTGTGCTCCCGTTGTCAGGATTTGCTCAAGCACACTCCAGTGAGCCACCCCGATCACCCCCTGCTGCAGGATGCTCTGCGGATCTCTCAGAACTTCCTCTCCAGCATCAACGAGGAGATCACTCCTCGTCGGCAGTCCATGACTGTAAAGAAGGGGGAGGTGAGTCTTCCTGCTTTCATTATTTTCTCAGTTTCTAAATACTGGTTGTGTCTTTTCTGTAGAGCAGACCAGGAAGTTATGCTGTTAATCTGTTTGTTGCTAAGATACAGTTTATGCAGTGTCCTTGTTCTCTGAAGGATGTGGTACAGCTCCCTCTGTTTTCTGTTCAGAAAGCAGTTTGGAAACCCAGAGGAAAAGTATGATTAGAGTTTTCTCCTTAGCATTGTTAAAATCATTTGTCATACATAATTGCTGTGATGCATATTGCTATGCACTAAGTGGATTTGTATTTTACCTGCAAACTGAAACCAAAGGGGAAGCCTGGGAGGAGAAAAAAGTGAGGAAACATCAGAAGTCATGAAAGATTGGGAAAAGCTGTTTTCCAGATTCTTCATTTTCACCATAAAACTAATTTTCTGCATCCTTATTTCTAAAGAAGAATGTTGTAAATATGACTAGAAAGCAAAACAAGTGGATTGTGTTGGGAAAGCCAGGGAGGTGATTGTCTCCTAAGAACGTGATATAACCCTTCTCAGCTCAGCTGGGAGCTGGACTGCACCCAGAAAACTCTAAGATGTGCAGTTCCCTTACCTGCAGGCAATGCTGTGCAAGGAGGCCACAGAGCTACTCAGTGGTGAAGTCCTGCATTCCTCAATGGGCTTCGTTCAGCTGCCTCATCATTTCATTAGGAAGGGGTTCAGTCCCTCCTGACCAGGAAAGGCCAGGACTGGCAGAAGTGTTGTGAGAGAGAAGGATGTAGGAGACTGGACAAAAAAAAGGTGTAGCTGAGATACTAAATGTGTAAGAGGAATTGTGGCATCATGCCAGAGACACTGGCTGGCCAACAGTGACCCAAATTACCCTGTACAAAAACATCTCTCTTAACAGGAGATTGTTAAGATACCATGAACTTTCATGATTTATTCCCAAATCTTGACAGCTAAACATGCTTGCTCTTAGCTGTTAAACTGATTTTCAGCTGACAAAAGATTTGCTAGAAGCTGCAGTACTGGGAATTTGGTGCACTTTGTCCTGCAAGTGTTGCTCATTGTCTCGTTTTGCCAACCGAGGAAGTCTGCAGCTGAGAAAAGAAGAGGAGGGGCTGAGCAATTGGAGGCTGAGGTAGAAGCTCAGACATCAGTCACCAGGGCCTCAGTGATAGTAGATGGCCTCATTAAAGTGGCTGCTGATTGAGTCATAGCAGAAATCACAGGCTAGAATGCCCCTCGCAGGGGAGGGAGCATTTTGTGTTCTCTGGTTGTCTGTCAGCATCTCAATGAGGGATGAGGCTTTGCAAAGTGTCAGGCAGAATCCTAATGAGGTGCCAGAGCCCAGGCAGAGGGGCAGGCTCAGGAGGATGATCCTGATGATGGCTTTTTGGAGCGGTGTATTTGTCAGATCTTAGAAAGCAGGATTGGGCTCAGCAGGCCTGTTCACACTCTCCCTGGTCCTGCAGTGACTCCAGGTATGGTGTGGGGAGGGAAGAAGGGGACATAACAGAGGAGAGGGCTGTGGGTGTGCTGGAGGGGACTGGGAACCCTTTGTGCTCTCCCTCACTGCACACAGCTTTTACTGAGCCCAGGGAAGAAAAGGACTTGCTTCTGATGCTTCCCAGAGTTTGCCTTCCACTCTGGGAATCTAAGAGTGAATATTTTCTTTAGTCATCTGGCAGCAATATCCCACTTTTTTCAGAGCAGTAATGCCCCAGTGGATGCCCTTCTGTGTCTAGAGAGTAGGTATGTTCACTCTCCTGTAGTAATCCAGAGACACAAATCTGCTCCCAGCTACTCTGTGTGGGTTAGTGATGGCTGTTCCTTCCTCTGCAGGCTGCTCAGCTTGGGGTCATAGCTGGGTTTTGTTTATGCCTGTAAATCTTTCCTTTTCTACTTATCCTTTCCTCCCACTCGCCTTGCTGGTGCTTCCCCTGGGGTGACAGGACAGTGTGTGGATTGCATCTCCTAATTGACTGCTCTCAATGCATAATGCATTTTTTATTTTAATGAATCACCAGCTTGCTTTGATGGCTTTTTTCATTATTTGTCTTCCTCCCATTGAAATTTCCTTGGTGGAAAGGAAGGAGGGTAAAACAGCCTTTTCCCCTCATGTATTGCTTAGGTGCTGATCTCAGTTATCTTTTTTCCCCAGTCCTTGCCTTTTATGTGGAATATTTTTTCTCTTTGAGTGCGTTGTGGGGAGGAATCAAATCTCCTTTGCCAGCCTCTTGCTCCTGCTCTTCTTTTCAGGATTGCTTTGAACTGGGGAAGGCAGCCAGTTGTTAATCTCCCTAGTGACAGGCTGCTAAGGAGGGGAGTGCAGGTCAGGAGAGAGTACAGGCTCATCAGCACAGCCTTCCTCGCTCTTGCAGAAGGTGATTCCCTGCTTTGGGAGCACTGGCTCAGTCTGACCTGCCTGCTGGCTTCCTGTGTGATGCCAGGTATCTCTCCAGCCCCCTGGTCCTGCTGGGCTCTGTAGGCTTTGTTCTAATTCTGGATTTATGCAGATGAACTGGAAGGTGTCTGTGGTGCAGTTTAATTTGCTGGGCTGAATGAGCATTCCAGGTAGTGCAAAGAGATGGGAACAAAGGGAGTAAAACCTTTCACGAGAGGGACAGAAAGAGCTCCAGCAGGGATGGCAGTATTGGTGGATTGAGTCTGTGAACAGAGAGTTTGGTCCTTGCTGACTGTAGCAGACTTCTCTGCTTCGTGGTCTGCTGAGGGCTGTGGTGCAGAGGAGCCAGGAGAGCCCCAGCCTGGCAACACAGGGGAGCCAGGAGGGCTTGTCTGGCCTTTGGGGTCTCTTTCCATTCAGCTTGATCCGCTACATTCTCTTGCTTTGTCCTTCCCATTTTTCTACTTTTATAGTTTTACTTTCTTACTGTTCTTTTTAATGGATTATCTGCAGGAATCCACTTTGCTAAGCCTCTGAATAACCAAACAAATACATGGAGGGAAAGGGGATCTGAGCAGCACTGTACCTTGTGACTGGGAATGTGAGTGGTGGAGAATCACCCACTCCTCAAGTCCAGGGAGCAGGGCACCTTCCCTGCTCCCTGCTGATCCTGCTTCACCACTGCTGTCTTAGTTTAAATAGGGAACGTGGTTGAGGTTCTACTGGGTGCCCTGGGGAAGAAGGAAAACAAATGCTTTGGGATGAAGGATGTGCCACTATTATGTGCAGAAGGAGGGGAGTAATAAGCTTTTTTACTCTTATTAACAGAGCAGCTCTATGTACTGCACCTTGTGTTTTTTTTCAACTAAACCCAGATGCAAATGACTGTAGCACTTGGGTCATCTTGCAAGGGAGCAGAAGTGCAGACTGAAGCCTTTGGAAAGCTGGAAGCTCAGCGTGAGGCCTGGTGCCTACTGCTCCAAGGCCTTGGGCAGATGTTGGCAGTTGAGCACTCAGAAATGATCTTGGCTGCTTCACACTCTGTCTTACAGCTGCAGCCAGAGGGCTCCTGGTGACAGGAGCTTCGGGAAGAAGAAAGAAAGGCTATTAAAATGCTCAAAGTGCAGCCAGTTTAATTCCCTGGGCAGAGCATCCCTTTATTCTGCAGTGCTGGTCTTGCAGCACACACACACACACACACACACACACACACGAGGAATCATTTTCTTCCTACGCTCTGCAGAAAGCCAAACCAGCTCTTCCTCACTGACATGTGCCAATACCCATCTCCTGCTTTTACCCTCCTCCCTCTGCCTCACACATGTTCCAGCCCTTCCTGGGGCTCTCTCCCACGCACACACTGCAGGGCTCTGCTGTCACCACATCAGATGAGCTCCTTCCTCGGCACACAGGCGAGGAGAGATGGCCTTTTGTGCAGCTGTGGTTCTGGTTGAGTAGGTTTTTAAATTCCACTTTTTGTAATGTGTCTCAGACAAGCTGGCCACACTTCCTGGAGTTAATCAATCTGTGACAGCAGCAGGATTTCTCATATGCAAACAGCACAAAAACACCGTAGGATGAGTAGATGAGCACACAGGTAGTCGTGAGGTTGGTAGCAGAGGAGGGGGAGATGCTCAGTGAGAGAGGTAAGAGGAGGAGGACAGCAATAGGCAATCCAAAGAGGATAACCAAGCACTGACAGAGGTACTCCTTTGTTCAGAGCACTGAGGTGGGTGGGAGAAGAGGCAGGTGAAAAAACATGCAGAGAAAAGCAGGGCCTGGAGAGGAGGCTTGGGACTTACATTGCACCAGTACAGGAGCTTTGCCAGAGCCACTGAAGGTAACAGATTAAAGATGATCCTAATTCAGTCCATTATGATACAAAATTGGGAGTTTTCCCCCCAGGCTTCCTGGAACAACTTTCTGTAGCTGAGCTGAGCTCATGTGCTGGACACTCGACAGTCTTGGGGGCTGTCTGTGGAAGAGAGGGGGTCGCACTGCCACTGTACTGCCACTCTCACCCTAAGCTTAGGTTTTCATGCATGTTTATGTGGTTTTGTGTAGTTTATGTTGTTTCAGGGTGTTTTAGGAAACCATTATCCCCTTTGGCAACCTCTAACAAACAGAATAACTCTGGAAACAAGGTAGAGAGATGGTTTCCCACATGTGGGTTATTGTATGTCATGTACAGCAAGATTACTCAGCCAAAAGGCCTTGTGTTTCAGGAGACCCTGTTTAACAGGAGGCCACCAAAGGCATAGTTGGTGGCCCTGGGTGGGAGGAGTTGACCAAAGTGTTGGTTCCCAGACTGCCAGAGAAGGCCTGTGGAGCTGAGGTGGCACAGGCATCTGACCAGCACAAGTCCTGTCTGAGGGGGCTGCTGGCTCCCCCGGGGTGGGAGAGGATGGGCTGACTCATGTTAGGTGCCCTTTGCTCCCACGCTGTGGGGTTTGGCAGGGATCTGGTAAGCCAGTTGGGAAATCCTTTTATTGTTTCCCTCTGACCTGCTGAACCTCCCGGCAAGATGACTAATGTGCAACAGAGGATGTGCCCCTTTGCTGGAAGTGCCCCTCCTCGGCTCCATGGATGCTGAGCAGCCTGGGACATGCTTGTTGTGCCCAGCCATAACAAAAGTCCTCTTTTCTGAGAGAAGCTGGTAGTGAGGAGAGATTTCCTGACTTGGTCCACACGTTTTCTCCCATACTTTTCTCCCCAGATGCTTGGTTGCTCTTGTGGCAGTTTAGCCGTGCTGCTTGCTGGAGGGAGACCTTTCCAGCTAGCTCATGAGCAAGAAGATATGAAGACTGAAAAGTCTGGGAGGCTCAGTGTTTTCCTCTGAGTGACTAACTGGAATATATCCCTTTCATCTCTTTCCTTCTGTTCCAGCCAAGCTTAGGAAATACAGCCTTCTTGTCTTCCCACCCAGCTCCCTTTGTGGGACTTTTTGCTGCCTCATGGTTGCACTGTGTCTGTGTCAGTCGGGGCACTTGGTAGCCAGGAGTGCAAACCCAAATAAACCCAGTGTGACTGAGGCCACCTCAGCACAGGTGGGAACTGTGAAGGTTGGTGAGTCACACCCCTGTTTTGGCATCGAATGGCTGAGCTCTCTGCTCGGGTTTTGGGGTGATGTGCTCTTGGCAGGGTGCTGGGCTGGGCTCTTGGCTCACCTCACACCCTGCCAGTGCCTGGCAGAGGTGGGCAGAAGGCCAGGTTAGGACTGTGCCATGTCCCTGCCAGTCAGGGAAAGGACAGTGCTGCATCCTGGTGGGGAGCAGAGATGAGTGAGCTGTGAGAACATCTTTACACCTACGAACAATGAGCAGAGGTTGAGCTGGCAGTAAGCAGTTATTCTCATTGCCCCAGAGGAGCTGAGCTGATTTGCAGAGTAATTAATATGCATCAGATCTAGAAACCTGAGATCAGGGTTTTGGCTTGCTCAGAAAATATCTTTTCCTGCTTATTATTGGTCCCAAATGAAATTCTTTGCAGCTCAGGAGTGCTCTTGCTACCGATAACATACCTCCTCCTGTTTATTTATTTTAAAGCTCAGTGTTTCTAGTTTCCTACCTGGGGTTTGTTCGCCATGCAGGAGGGGAAGGCATGCACAAGCAGCAGAGGCATTAATGCAGGCAGGCGTTCGCCCCAAAACCACTGAGGAGGAGCCAGGAGGATCACACCCACCTAAAAATAAACATTAACATATGTACAGGCCCTTCTGAGCCTGAATCACTGCTGGATGCCAGATCTCCACAGAGTCCTGCCCAGAGATGGTGCAACATTCTGCTAGGGAGCAGCCTTGCTTCCCACAGCGATGGGAAAGGTGCAGCTTTTGCTGCTGCTGCTCATGGATTTCCAGGACCTTTGTGTCATGGAAGGCAGCACCCAGATGAGCTGCTGACACTGCTCTGGGTGCTTTCACAGGTCACTGTGGTGCAGCTGCAGACAGGAAAATGCAGGCTCCTAGTGTGTGTCAGGAAGTCTGGGGTGCTGTGGGACAGGCTGTGCAAACAAGAATTGTGTCTGCAAGGGCATTTCTTTGCCATGCATTCCCTGCTGTGGTGCCTGCTGGGCTCAGGACTGATGTGGTTTGTTTCCATGTTGGAGAGCCAAGATGGGAAGAACCGTAGGCGGAAGGAGAGGCAGCGTGGGGGGTTTGTACTCCCACACCCTCACCAGGGAGTGTGTGCAGGGCTTGTTAAGTCACGCAGAGAACAGAACCTGGGGGGCATCACCTGAGAAACTGAGGCATCAGCTCTGGTGTGGGTGTCCTGACCTGGCTCAGGGGAGCTGCTTTCCTGGTGCTGCAGTGCTGAGCACGTGGAGCTGAGCTGCCTCCTGGAAACAGAATTTGGTGTGTGTGTTCCCAGTGTGGGGAACACTGGGATGGAGCAGGTCAGGAGTGAGTCACACAGGCAAGTTCTGAGCGTGGGGCTGGGGAGGGCTCACAGTGAGGCAGCTCAGAGGTTTTGGCTGGCCCTGGACAGTGTCAGCAGAGCTCTCCTGTCTGCAACCACAGCGCTGTCTAGGCCATGTGAGGGATGTGTGACGTGTCACTTGGTGGTGTCAGGGGAGCATCCTCTTAGCTGGAATAACAAGGAAATAGTTTGGGTCATGGAAAAGTTCCTTAGTGTGCCTTAGCACGTGTGGTGAAGCTGATGGTTCCTGCTTGTACTGGGCATGAAGTGAGGCAACACTGACAGTTACACATATTGGTGAGAATAAAACTTGCCCAAAGTTGAATGGCCCTGTTTGGAAATCAGTGGGAGTTATCTATGCCAGATGTGCAGAGTCCTGTTGATCCTGACAGCAGAGTGGAAGGCCTGAGCATAGAGCAGGGCATGAAACTCCTGATGTGGTCACTGGTACCTGCACACAGCCATCTGTGTAAGTGCTAGCACTCCAGCCTTTTAGTCTTTTAACTGTGGACTCTCTCCCCCCCATAAGGGAATTAGGAAAGCAATGCTTATGCCAGCTTATCTGTGCCTCTTCTTTAGGAGATTGTAAAGCTCCCTGGAACTAAAAACAGGAATAAAGGCATCAGAGTTGTGCAGCTTCTTTGAATTTTCTAGATTTGGAGAGTCTTTATATGATATAAAAAGAGATTTCAATAGACATGGAGTGGGGGTATATCCAGATGGTTCTATTAAAGCACAGGCTTATAAGGGACTACTGAGAAGTTTGCTGGATACACATGTTCAGGAATTATCCCTTAGCAGCACTTGTAATGAAGAAGCAGCAATGGCTGCTGTTGCTGTTCAGCTGTTAATGTTGACAAACTCTGCTGTGACTGGGAGAGGAGGTGTCCTAGGAGGGCTTAGCTCTGTCCCTGGAGAGGTGGCTGAAGCTGAATGCAGAGGCTGGGAAGTGGCTCTGGGAGAAGCGGTGTGTGCTGCTCTCTGCTGGCTCCAGAGGGGACGATTCCCTGGCAGAGATTCAGGAATTCGGGGATTCCGGCCCTCCGGTACAGAGGCTGGGCAGTGACTCACAGTGAGTTACGCTCGGGCTCAGAACAGGTGATGGAGAGAAGCCTGAAGTCTGACCCAGCACCGGGTACTGAAGGAGATGCACGGCCATCTGTGCCTCTGGGAGAGAGGGCAGCAGCAGGGAGCAGAGTTTACAGCCAGGAATATTTAATAGGCTGTCTTCTTTTTTCTGAATCAGACAAATTTACTGAATTTGCTCTGGTAGGAGTCACGTCTAAGGAATGTGTTGCCCCAGTGCCAGATCTGGAGCTCGTGTTGCACTGACACATTTTCCTGCTCTTTTCCCCAGCACCGGCAGCTGCTGAAGGACAGTTTCATGGTGGAGCTGGTGGAGGGGGCCCGCAAGCTGCGCCACGTCTTTCTTTTTACCGATCTGTTCCTGTGTGCCAAGCTCAAGAAGCAGATTGGAGGGTGAGATTTTCCTTCTGAACTGGGTGCTTTGCACCTCAGCTGCAACAGAATCCTGGGGTTAGCCAGCAGTTTTAGTTGCATGTGAACACCCCAACCTGGGTAACTAAAACCCACAAGATGTACTTAGACATCAGGAATAATCAGCAAGGCAGGACTGTTTCTTATATGAGACCTTGTCCATGTCCTGATCCCTCAGGAAAGGTTAATTCCTCCCATCTCTGCCCTGAGCCTTCCTAGGAAAATAGGATATGCTGTAGGTGCTGATATTCAGGACAAATGCCATTAATTTTTCTACTTTCTTTTAATAGGTGACATTCTTCACTTTCTTTTGTGACTAAGGTTATTAATTTTGGCTTTGCAGCTACAGCCTGTTAACAGCTTTACAGAAAAATACCAAAGGTGCAGTAAACAGACTGTCAACCCCAAAGGGCAGCTATGAAGACAGTTTTGTTGACATTTTTGACCAATGAGGGGGAGGAACCATTACCAACATACCTGCCTCAAATAGGGCTTCTCTTCATTTGGTAAATGTTCTTCTAATGGAGACCCCTCTCATCTCCTTGCCCTCCTCAAGCAAAAAGTTATGCCTGCCCTTTTTGAAGCACATGCTTGTGAGGAATGAACCTTCAAAGCAGTGGGATGTTCCCAAGAGTGGATGTTCCTGACAGTAGAGGTGGGGCTCACCTGCCCCATTTGGGGAGGCAAAAGAGACCTGGGTTTAGGTCACAGGTGGCAGCCAGGTCAGAGGTTTGGCACAGCTTTAGAACTTTGGCTGCATGGAGGCTTTGAAGGGAGAGCACATGGGACTGAAAGGGTTTGCAGGAGAGGGCTGTGGTTTCTTAGGATAAAAGGAACTAGCTATCAAAATGAGTTGCCTTGTGTACTTGTGCTGGCTATTGCCCTGCTGGGCTTTCTTACTGGAAAGCAGCCTTTTGCCAGACTTTTTCCACATAGGAATCACAGTAAAGTTGGACCCATATCTGTATCTTATGCACTATAGCTGGGAAGGGGGAGTGGGTACTGTCAAACACCAATAATAGTAAAAGGTTTGGACTTTCTGCCTTTCAGGAAAAGCCAGCAATATGACTGCAAATGGTACATCCCACTCACTGACCTCAGCTTCCAAATGGTGGATGAGTCTGAGGCAGTGCCCAATATCCCACTGGTACCTGATGAGGAGCTGGATGCCATGAAGATCAAGATATCCCAGATCAAGAACGACATCCAGCGGGAAAAGGTAACAGGGGTTGAGCACTCCCTGACAGGTACAGACTCAGTGTCTGTGCTGAGGTGCTGCAGCAGCAGCACTCCCAGGGCTGCACAGCGTGGGGAGTCGTGTTAGAACAGGCTGTTCAGCAGAGGTCTGTGATACCCAGATGCTTTGCAGCCCATCATTGCTCATCCTCGTGCACAGCTTGAATGGTGGTGCCCTGTGAGGAGGCAGAAACAAAAACACTCTGTAGTTGTACCCAGTAGCTTCCCTACTTCATGAAACCACCTGTGACTGCTATCCCTGAGCATCCCTGTGCAGGGCAGGGCTCTTATGCTGTGGACATGAGAAGGACTGGGATTGTGACATGCAAATTTCTAGCTGCTAAAGTATGATCCTGCAAGTGATTTTTGGTCAGAAGCCATGTATTCCTCAGTTTTTGCAAGCTCAGTTATACCTTTAAATCTTTTTCCTACTTCACTGATGTCAAAGCATCAGCAAATGTATGTAGAACACCAATTATGTTGACTGAACAGTCTGACACAGACATGGTGTCTCTGGCCTTCTCTTTGTTTGCAAGACATGTTTTCTCAGAGGTGTTAGGTTCCTGGAACCCAAAAGAGAAATAAGAGTTTGAAAACTGAAGGCCTGCTGGTGTGTAGAGCCGGATATGAGTAACACTGATCGTGTCGTGACAAGATTATTCCCCACACTCCTGCCTCTCTGCCCTGGCTGGCTTTCAGAGAGGGCTTCCTGGAAAAAGGAAGATATTAGGAAGAACACTCCATGGAAACCTCTTACTCACCAGGTGCAGGTGTCTTAAGATACATGCTGTGGTGCATCACTGCCAAACAATACACATGGCTGGGTTTGGAACTGGGTTTTATCCAGGAAAAACTGATTTTAGCTGACTTCTGATGAAAATGGATCAGTGGGTGGTGAATGGGAGAGTTCTGGGCAGCTTCTAGGGAAGTTCCTTTCAGTCTCCTTAGTTAATGAGGAGATGGCAGTGTTGTGGCTGCCCAGTGACATGATGCTGCTGCAGCCTCTGGGCAGAAAGTACAGGGTGTAACTGGGACAGTGGCCATGCACCTCTGCACCTTCATCTGGGACAGCTGGAGTCAGGGAACAGAGCCGAGTGTGAGTGTAGAGGTACTGCAGGAACATGTTCCTGAGCAGCTGGGAGCCTTGTGGATCCTGTTGACAGCATTTCTTCTGCCATGGGGCCATTTCCCTACTCACAGAGGGGAGGGACTGTTGATTTTAAAATATCCGTTAGTGTAAATGGGATAGATGTTGGAGAATGACATGTGTCCTCTGTCTCCCTCTCTCCCCCACCCTCCAGAGGGCCAATAAAGGCAGCAAGGTCATTGAGAGGTTAAAAAAGAAGCTCTCGGAGCAGGAATCCCTCCTACTGCTGATGTCTCCCAACATGGCCTTCCGGGTGCACAACCGCAACGGGAAGGTGAGAGGACATCCCTTCCCCCTCAGTGTGCCCGAGACCACAGGGGCCTGTGTGTGGGGGGTTGTATTGGCTGTTGCACAAGGAGGTCTCCGTGGCCTCCACTGGCTGTCCTGAAAGCCCTTTCCAAGCAGCAGACACCCAGCCCTTGCTGTACCAAGGGTTATGATGACATCCTGTAAGGCTGTGACTAATCTGTACACGTCCCCTGCTCTGACAGTGCTGTGACCTGTCACCGTGGCCTTTCCATGCACGTGGCAAAGGATTCTCACAAGACTGTGTTACTGCTTGGTGACAATCCATGAGCTGGTCGCTGCTTCCTCAGCTTGCACCAGTGTCTAGGCCTGTGCTGGAGGCTTTTGGGGTTCCTGGTGTTGTGAGCACGGCACAGAGCTGCCATGGGAGCCCATGGATGCAGAGACACGGCTGCTGTTGGCAGGGTGGGGCTCGGGGGGCTCTGACTGTCCATGCTGGCACCGCTGGTGCTTTGCCGAAGGATCATTTCCACAGCCCTGCCTGTCCTGACAGAGCTGTGATGCAGGACAAGTGGCAGGAGTGCCAGAAGGACAGTGAATCCAGCACAGAGCTCTGGAGGAGGGTGGGGGCGGGCAGGCCAGCCCTCAGACTGATGCATACCCTATTTTCTTCTCTTCTCCTGGGCAGAGTTACACGTTCCTCATTTCATCGGACTATGAGAGGGCAGAGTGGAGGGAGAATATCCGAGAGCAGCAGAAGAAATGTGAGTGTCCCTCGGCTGTTATTGATACACTGTGATCTTACTGGAGAGCAGGAATCCAGAGGATGAGGAAAACCTGCAAAATCAGAGATATGCATTGAAATCCCCAGCACAACAAACATGTCTCCTGTCTCTGCATGTCTGAGGATGTTTAGGGGGCTTCTGCTTGCAGCAACATGTAGGGAATGTGTAGGGAGAACACAGAGTAAGTGTGGTAGAGATGCTCCCATTTACCCTAGAGATCAGAGCTCAATTGCACCTGCAATTCCAGGTACAGGGAACAGCTGCACACTTTTACCTGGCTCCAGTCCAAAGAAACTTAGTTACTTTTTTGGCAGGGGTGTTTTTTGGCTTTGCAAGAAAGTAAGAACCTCCCCTTGTTTCCTGTGAACCATCCTGAGAGTTTTTACTCCCCACAGTAACTCGGTGTGCCCTCAACAGAGCTGGGCTGCAGCAGCAGCACAGCCCTGAGCACCTCGTGCTGTCGCTGGGCACTGCCCAGGGAGCAGCTATCCTGTGTGTGCCCTGGATGAGGGAGAAGGTATCCAGCCTCTCCTTTAGATTTGAATTCCTCCCCCTTTGAATCTCCTTGGCAGGCTTTAAAAGCTTCTCACTCACATCGGTGGAGCTCCAGATGCTGACAAACTCCTGTGTGAAGCTTCAGACAGTCCACAACATTCCCCTCACTATCAATAAGGAAGGTAAGACCTTTGGTTTATGTTTTCACACGGTGCAGCTGCAGTGAAACTCTCCCCTGCCTGCTTTTGTGAATTCCCCTGGTTCTTTTTGCTACCCACTGCAGCCTGGTGATGAGTTACAAACTGAGAGTCCCTGTAAAACAAAACCTGAGGCCATGTGTGACCAGCCTGTGTGGTTTAGTTGAAGTAGATGATGGCATACCAAGAGAGAGCAGCAGGAACAAGAAAAGTCTGTCATCCCAATGCTAATGCTGCAACAATAAAAATACAAGCTCCACGTTATGTGGCAATATCTAAATTAGCAAACTATTCCCCAACATCCTCCAATATATATTCATTGACTATTAAATGGTCCTTATATGTAGCTGTTGTGCAAGGTACTGGAGTGCCTGGTGGAGTCCTAACCTGGGACAGCTTTGAACTATGCCTGGGAATCCTTTGGAAGAACACTAGTTGGCCAAAATTGTGTCAGAGACCATCCTAAATTACTATTTAATCTGCTAGTCTAGATTTAGCCTCTATATTTTACTTTTATATTTTTACTTTATATTTTACCTTGAATTTCTTCCATGCTGTCTTGCTGACCCTAGAAATGTCACTGTAGAAGTCTCCCACTGCCAGAAGGCATTGCAGGTGACAGTGCTCCTGGAACAGTCTCCTCTCTTGCCAGAATGGCTGTTCTGTGCTCCTGCCATCCTTAGGGACAGTTTACCCTCTGCTCATTAACCTGTGTAATATCAGTCTCATCACTCTCAGCTCCACTGTGAATGTAACAGAATTCCTTGGGTCTTTTGTACAGATGATGAATCCCCGGGTCTCTATGGATTCCTGAATGTCATTGTCCACTCTGCCACAGGATTCAAGCAAAGCTCAAGTGAGTTGCAGTTCTGTGACACACAGAGGTACTGACAGGGGTGAGATAAGTCATGTGCTGGGACAGCTGGGCACGGGCTGATTTAGGACTGCAGCATCTGTGCTGATGGTGAGGAGGAGAGGGGTTTTGGGGAACTGGAAGTTCCTGCTGTGAACTCTCAGAAAGATCACCATCAAGGGTCAAGCATGCAGCACTTATTTTTTAGGCCTAGTCTGGGTTTTTAAGGAGTGTTTGCTGATTACCCACCTCTTCTAGAAACAAGTCAGCCCTTATACTGAATTCTTTCAGCTGTATTTTGTTTTTCAATGAAAGAATGGAAAGCGTTCTCTGGCTTGTTGTGAAGAAAGAGGTGCTAAAATTCAGGGGCATTATTTGACAGAAGGATCAAAAAAGGTGACAGACTAGAGTGAGGAGGACCCTGGTAGGAATGACTGTGATTCTCAGACATTGATGGGGATAATCTAGAACAGCTGCCCAGGTTACCTGGCCGTGTGGCTAGGGATCCTGTTCTTATCCAAGCTAAGTGTGCAGTCCAGGGAGGAAAGGAGTGCACTGGGAGTACATCCCTGTTGGCTTCCTCCTGCTGAGCCACTGACTGCCCAGCTGCTGCCTGACACCACATTTGTAAGTTAGGACATAACTTAAGGTGGGGCAATGTCTACAGCTCATTAGTAGCTCTTCAGAAGCACCAAATACCGCCTGTTTAACCACTTTGTAAAAATAATGAGGTTTTTGCCCCCTGACCTGCTCCCTGAGGGATCCTGCACTGATGCTGTTCTAGGGAAATCACTGTGTTGATGAGGTCCAGTATCTACCTGGGGAAGGTTTATTGCTCACTGGGGTACACCTTCAGCTCAGTGTGGATTGATCTGGGGAATATTGGATAACAGCATATGCCTGATTTTTGATAGAGGTGAAGGGCTTGTCTGTGCTGACATAATTTATACAGCTGTGCTGGTACTTCAGCTTCCTAAAGGCAACTGGGCTGATCCAGATGATGAGATTTGTATGGAATGATGTTACTAGTACTAATACAGAGATGGTGGAGCTGAAGACACACCCTGGAAGTGATTAATGTGAATTTGGAGATTCTAGAAACTTCTTAAGTTTCTGTTGCTGTCTCCCCTCCTCAGATTTGTACTGCACGTTAGAGGTGGATTCTTTTGGGTATTTTGTGAACAAGGCCAAAACTAGAGTTTACAGAGACACCACAGAGCCCAACTGGAACGAGGTAGGTTTGATTTTTCTTGCTGTGACTTATTCCATGTGCCAAATATCAATGCACAATGGGCAGAAGATCCACCAATGGAAGAACTTGCTGCATGCTCAGCACTTGTGCTGCACTTGCTGCTGCTCAGAAAGCCCTTTCCTGTCAGGTTCATTTGGCTGTCAGGGCTTGCAGAAGATTTTCTCTTGGATTAGCTGTAGTTAAACAAACAATTTGATACAAATGAGTCTTGTCCAGCATTTCATCATTTAAACAGATGCATGTTTGATTATTTTTTTAAAGACACAAGTGAAAATATGTTGAAGGAGGTGGTTTTGTTTATTTGTTGAGAGAGGGAAGAATTAGCTATAGACATTTTGCCTGTTAACAGGCAACTGGTGGTGAGCAAAATTCATTACAAGGAAGGTGGGTGAGTTTGTGTCTTTGAACAATGCTTTGCTGAGACCCAGTGAAACCTGACCAAGGAGTGAACCTTCTTGGTCTCTGATTTGACCACCTTATATATACAAAATACAATTTCACTTTATTTCTAGACCAACTCCATTAGGGAGGAGGTTTTGGTCAATCCTTAAGTGCTCCCTTCTGATGAATTTTAAGGAGACTAAATTGATTATTATGAGACTGGTGTCCTCCTGTGATGCATCCATAGCTCTTTCCTGTCCTGGTGCCCTGCAGGAGTTCGAGATTGAGCTGGAGGGCTCACAGACACTGCGGATTCTGTGCTATGAAAAGTGCTACAACAAAACCAAGCTCACCAAAGAGGATGGAGAGAGCACAGATCGAATCATGGGGAAAGGGCAGATCCAGGTAAGACTGTGCTGAGCTCATTCCTGCTACCCTTACTGCAAAACATCACAGGACTTTTGAATCCTGGAGTGCACCAGGGAGGTTTGTTTTCCTGCATTCTGAGTGTCTTAAGTATTGAAGATTTTTGTCTAGACAGTGAGGTACACAATGTGACTCACAGAGAGGAGGGCAGCAGCTTTTTCCTTCTTGCTTTATGCCCCATGCCTGCTTCAGCATCCTTATGGAATAGCTACTTTTTCAAGAAAGTTTGTTTTGATCTCTCATTTGCCCATTAACTTCCAAACTTCCAGCCCAGTACAGGAGCTGCACTGCCCCTGGGCACTGCTGAGGATGCTCCATTTGTGGCAGGAGGAAGTAATGAATATCCTCTCCCCTCTGTAAATCAGGTGCTGGAAGGTGATGGATGTGTTGGCCGGGCCCTGGAGGGCAGGGTTATTGTCCTGATAACAGCCATGTCCATGGCATGGTGTCCATGACAGCAGGGGGCATCCGAGGGGGATTTCCACTGCAGAGAACCCATGTGGGTCACTTTGTGTGGCAAATTTGTAATACAATAGGGGAGGTGGTGATTGCAAAGAGATGCTGCTCTTGGGGAGCTGCTGTGTAGGAGTGATCCAGCCATCCATGGAGGATGACATCAGGAACATATGTTCCCCCTCTTGTTCCAGTTTGTTGCACTGTCTGTCCACAACTTCAGGGGGGTGTTTAAATGGCTGCTCTGAGGGCACATTCTTTGTGCTGGAGTGGCTGTTGTACAGAGCAGAGACCCTGCCCAGATACCTTTGTCTCTCTGGGATGCTCAGAGATCTCCCCATTCCCCTCCATGTACCAGTGCCTGTCCCTCTCCCCAGCACTGGAGCAATGGTCAGGATTGCAGAACAGCTGGGACTGGGGGCAGCCTGTGGGATCCCGTTGCTCTGCCAGGGTTCACTGGCCAAATGACTCCCATCAGGGCTGTCCCTTCCCTCCCTCCTTGAGCCCGAGGCTGCCACGTGTCACAGAGAGAGCTTTTGTCTCAAATGCCTGGTGGGATTTGGAAGGGAACTCTGTACAGATCAATAAATGCCAGCACAGGGTGTCTCCTGTGTGTGTCTCAGGCCGACCAGAAATCTCTGTGTCCCTCCCGCTAACAAAGGTTGTTTTCCATGGAGATGAGCAACTACAAAAGAGCAAGTTTGCAGCCCTGAAATGCCCCGGGGATTTGTGTGCTTATAACAGAGAACCCTGAAATCACTGATCCACTAAATCCTCCCAATATTTTACATGGAATGATTTTAAAACCAAATCATATCTTTTAAATTTTAAGCAGTTTTTTTCTTCATACAGGAGCGGGCATTTTTCTGCACAGCAATGGCACATTCTGTTAATACATTTTATATTAAAATTAGTAAGTAAAAATACTCTTTGGTGACACTTATATATTAATTGCATCTTGATTCTTTTAGAAAAACCTAAACACTGGGAAGGTTAAAAAATAAAAAAAAAAATCAATAAAAATGTTTTTGATTAATGTGCAAGTGTTGCATTCTGTTATATCATAAAAGGCACATGCAAAATTTCTCTTGCTTTCTATACATCCCCTTTACAATTTGTAAAGAAATTTGGTGAACTGCCAGAGCATCCTCTTAATTCTCAGTGATTTCTGCTCCATCACACAAATTTTAAACACTGTTGAATAACTGCAAAGAAAAGTCATAAGACAGTCTGGTAAGATTTTGGATTGATAAAAATTATTAAAGGTTTTACTTTGGTTTAGTTTTATTTTTAAAGTAAACACCATTTCTTGATTAAGAAACCATAATAATGCAACAATAAAATCAGATGGCAGCCTGTGGCTGAAGGCTGGCTGTGTAAATGCTGTGTTAAAGCAGTTTTCAATCGCTGGTTTTATAGTTATTTTCTTTTAGGATTCTCCAGGTGCTCTTACATCAAATTTTGTTTACTTTAGAGTTGGTAGTTTATCCTGGGCTTTCTGGTTTGTTGTTGTTTTTGTTGCACTGTCCTCATTCAGCCAAAGTCTGTCTCTTTAAAGGCAAGGTCTGTAAAGTTGAAGTAAGACTTCTTTTCCATAAATTCCCTTTAGTTAAAAACTCTGGGAACATGAGTGCCTGCATCCTCCTGTTGATAAAAGCAGAGGAATTTCTGTCTTGGCTAAATTGTAGTGTATTGTTAAGCCATGTATTATTGTAAATATGCAATTTCCCACTACTGGGAATTCTGACTCACCAAATTCTCTGAGCTTCAGTGATGAAGACAATGCATCAAGGAGACAAGGACTGTCTTGGCTGTGAAATGTTTATTAAATCTCTCTGTTACATTATGGCACTGGAGGAAGGAAGACTGGAAATTGGTCCATGTGGTCACAAGTTTCCAGGAATGGGCAGCAATTTTAGTAGCTTCCATTGCTCATATTTTCTTTTCCAATGAATATTTTATTTACCTGTATTTATAGCCACAGGCAAGAGCTGCTTCTTTCCTTGCCAACCTGCAAGTTTTATCCCTGAAAAATAAAACAATGAGGTTTTAAAATTGGGGGACATCCTGGAAATGTAGGAGTGAATTCCTCAGCAGCCCTTGTGGGCATGGCAGCTCTGGGTGTGCAGTGTTGGATGGCCACACATGGCAGGGGGCTTCTGCTGCACCTCAGGCACGAGAAACACCATTCCTGGCTACACTGTGCAACTGAAATTATTGGGAGACTTGGGGCAGGAAGGAATGACCATCATTTTATAGGAGGCCCTGAGGCTGTAAGCATCAGCTCCTCTCAGTGTGGGGAATTTTCTTTCTGCTGTTACCTTGCAATCCATCTTTGACCCTTGGGTTGCCTCTTTTGCTCTTTGAATTTTGCACTTCACGTGGCAGACACATCCCCCTGTGTTGAGCGTAGCAGCCTTTGTTTGGTCCTGAGACTGCATCTTAGTGGGCACATGGGTCAGCACGACTGCCCTGGGAACAGACTGGTGAGTAAACTGATACTTCGCCCTGGGATCCGGCTCCTCCCGTTGGTGCCTCCTAGAAATGCTGTTTCCTTTGTTGTTTTTCTTTTTTCTGCACGATCAGCTCAGACAGAGTATTTCCTTCTCTCTCACAGCAGTGCTGGAAAATCAGGGAGGATGTGAGCATAGATCAGTCATTCTGTGGAAGAAGTGCAACATCATTCCTCTGTTGCCTTGCAAAACAATCACTCTTATCTGCTTAATTATCTGGGATGTCTCATAGCAGTGCCCATGGCTATTTCAGGCACTAAGTTGTTTTCCATGTAAACCATGTTTTCACTGCTGTACCTCCCAAGTGTCAACTCAGAAACCCTTTACACCCTCGAGTTCGTTTAAGCAGTTTGCTCAAGCAGAACAGTGTCCCAGCAATGCAAATAGGGGGGAAATGAAGAAGGCAATGGGTCATGGCTAAAGGGTGATGGTGGGAAAGATTAACCTGTCAGTGGGGAGCTGTGAGAAGAATGGGGTTATGGCTGGACTGGGAGTTTCCAGCAGCAGTGAGATCTCTGACAGCATGTATGTCACATCAGTTACAATTCAAAATTGATGGAGTGTAAAGTTGCCAGGGAGATTTAATAAAGGGAAGAAGTAATGTGATTGAATAGATAAAAAACAGTAACCTTAATGTTTCCTCAGTCCTTGCTCTTTCATTTCTGCTGAGGCTTCTTTGTTTTTTCCTCTTTCTGTATGTTTGCTTTTTTCTCTGGGGAAAAAGAAATAATCATCAAGCTCCCTGTGGTGGTTTCCTAAGGCAACACACAGACACCCTTCTTAGTGCCTAGCTTGCATTTGCCAGACTAGCACCCCCAGTTTGCCTTTTCCCAGGTCCTCACCACCCTGCTCTGCTCTCTGAGTGCTGTGCCCTGTCTGAATTCAGTGCTGAGCTGCTACAAGGGCCACAGACCTGCACTCAAAACCCCCCGTGGTGCTGAGCTGCTTTGTTCTGTTGTGTTTTGGGCAGGATACAGAGAGGTGTTGGCCTAATTAAGTAGTGAATTTGGGGCTGCAGCTTGCCATCACAAATACCAGGGAACAGGCTACAAGAGAGGAAGCAGCAAACAGACAAACTGGTTGGTTTGTATTTTCCTGTGCAGCACGAGCTCTTGGTGGGGACTGTGCAAACAAGCCCCTGCAGTACAGTGAGTGAGGGGTTTAGTAAGTCTGTCCTATTTGCACAGGGCAGGGAAACAACACAATGGTTCTGTTTAAGTGGAGATGGCACGGGTGCTTTTGTCATTCAAACCAAGCCACTGTTTGAAGGAGCTGTGTAGAGGGGCAGTGAATGTCACTGTCAGATGCAGAGGCAGCCATTGCACAGGGCCTCCCCTGCCTGAGCTGGCACAGCTCGCTGGGAGCTGCCTCCCTTTGCCATGCTGGCTGGGGATTGCATTCTTCTACTCCATGTTCTTTCTTCCAGGTCAGTGATTTCCTAATCAGGCCAGAAGACAGCATGACCCCATTTGTCACAGGCTCTCTGTGCTGGAGCATCTCTCTTGCTAGCTCTTTGTGCTCAGTGTGCTCTGTACCTCCTGCTCCAGCTGCTCTGTTGCTCTTGCTGGCCCCAGAAGGTCAGTCATCAGTTGGGTCCAGGACTGAAGCTCAAAGTCTCAATGACTTTCATGGTTTCTTGTTGACTGTTTCCTACTGTGACTTATCAGACTGTTAGACCTGATTTTCCTGTCTCGCTCAGTGTTGCTGAGACCTTATTCAAGCTTTGCTCTTTTAATAGCTTCCATCATTTTGTTTTGTTATTTAAAAAGCACCTTGGGGGGGATTTTTTTTTTCTTAATTGCTGTTATTGCCAGTGATTTATGCAGGGTTGGCTCGGGTCAGCCAACCCTGGTGCCTGTTCTCCCTGGCTCCATTCAGTACCAGCTGTTCTCCAGCAGGGATCAAACAGCAGGTGGGGAGGGCAGGAGTCCTGCCAGCCCTGCAGCAAAGTTCAGGGAGAAGGGAGCAAGAGGCAGCAGCAGGGACACTCAGGTATGTCCACAGGCCTTGCTCAGCTCCAGCAGTTACCCAGCAGGGTGAAGTCTCTGGGAGCTCTCAGCTCCAGCACTCTGCTTCTGCTTGTCCTTTGCAGCCATGTGAAAGTCACTCTTGAGACAGAGCAGGCTGGTGTTTGGCTTGTATTTTTATCAGCTATTTACTTGCTTTCACTTTGTGCCGTGGCAGGAGTTCCCTGGTCAGTACTCAGACATAACCAGTAATACCTGTTAGCTTAAATAAAACTGTAACTGGATTCTGCTGGACTCTTCCTTTAATGTTTTTGGTAAATATTCAAAACCCTCCTTCTTCTTCAGTCTTAAGCAGTCTGTCCCTGCTATAAATAATACACTTTTGGTGACTCCCTTCTAAAAACATATGGAAAACTGCTTCCAAGCAGGAGGATTGGCTGTGACTGTGTCCATCAGCAGGGCCATTTTGGCGACTTAACCAGATAACTTTTTAGGCAGATGGAGATGAAGCTTTCAGGAATACTGAGCACGGTTGTCCTCCATAGGAAACCAGTCACTTCAGAAATGGTTTCCTCTTGATTCTGGGAAAGAATGCAGTTGTTGAAAGAAACCAAACTTCCAGCACGGAAGTTGAAGCAGGAACAGCCTAGACTCTGGCCAGCTCGTAGGGACCTTGGCCAGGCACACAGGCGGGGGCGGATCTGTTCCGCCGGAGTTAAAAGCGAACCCCCCTGGCAGGAGCTGCAGTTTGGGTTCGCTGAGCCACTGGAGCCAAGCACTGCTGCCCATTGGCCTCCTGGACCTCTGTGCAGCCCCAGGATGTGGGAGCTACTGGTTACTGACTATTCCTTACAAGGGGTCTTCAGGAATTTCTGGCGGAGTTGCACCTACAGGAGCCGGTCCAATTCCACAGGGAAGCACGTGTGTGCCGGCAGCGTCCCGCTGTGGGCTCACCTCCGTGACAGAGTGAGAAGGCACAAGGTTGGCCTCACTTGCTTGTTCTGTTGCTGCTTGGGGTCTCTGCAGCGTGAAACTTTCCTCTCTGCTGGTTGTCTTTCTTTGGGGAAGGGCATGGGGGCGCTTGTCTCTGTAGCTGTCAGCAGCACTGGGCTGCTCTGCTGATGTTCTGAAAGACTGACCATGATTGTCTCAGATCTCCCAGAATTTCCTGCAGCTGCTGTTGTTTGAGCATTTCTCTCACCTGCCAGAGCATTCTGTCTCTGCACAGGGCTCTGCGAGAGGGAGGGAGCTGTGCTGCAAAGTACCTCTGGTTGCTGAGGGTGCGTTTGCTGACAGCAGTAGACTCAAGACAGAGGCTACTGCAGTTGCCTCTCCTGGTCTTACTGTGCCTCAGTGTTTCAGAGCCAAGAGCTACAAAGCCATCTCAGGAGGCACTAAATTCCCACTTTGGCTGGTTCTGATTGCTGATCCAGTCCCAGTGCAGGCAGCTGTTTCCTCTCTCTTGCCAGTCTCCCTGGAGCTGGGTTTGGATGTGCTTGGGCTCTCCCAGCCAGTGTTGGAATTGCTGGGTGATGTTTGAGCACTCGAGTCAGCCGCTCCCCAGCCTCACAACTGTCCACTCGAGATCAAGCAAAGCTGAAAATGGGAGATTGGAACTTGGTTCTGTTTAATGAATTCTTCCAGTAGCAGGGTCAGGTGTTCTTCCTGCCTCCATTCTCAGATAGAAATGAAAAGGACTAGGCAGGTTGAAGGAGAACAACTTTCCATGATTTCTGGGCCGATTTTCTCCATTTCTCCTCTGTCGGATTCTGACAGAAGTTTGGTTTGTTTAAAGTTACTTGCCTGTGTATGGATCACTTTGTATTTTTCTTCCTTGATCTCACTCTTAAGGTCATTATGTCTTTTGAATTCAGTCCTTCTTGGAAGCTGTTGGCTCCATAGCCAAGAGCTATGAAGTTCTCTAGCCTGGCTTTTTATGTCAGTGCAGTAATTTCACACTCACCCAACCTCACCTGTTTGTAGAAAACTGCAGTGGGAGACAGTTTCTCTGTTTCAAATCAGAGTTATTTCAGAAATCTCTCCTCCATTTCTCTGACTCCTGGCCCTGTGGGATGGGAGGATTTTGGCTGTCCATGTGCCTGTGTGTGTGCCACAGCCATGAATGCAGTATCTCATTCCGTGAAAACTCAGGGTGTTGCCATTCAAACATTGACCGTGCTCACTGAGGTTGCCTTTGTTGTTGAGCAGACACTGCACACATGTTGCTGGATTTTTCCATGTATGTGAGTCCTCCTCAGCCCTGCTTAGAGAACCACACAATATCTGAGCATCCCGTTACCTGAAACTGGGAAAACTTTGGAGTGTGTGTTTTCCTGTGGACAAGAAATAACATGTTAAAAGTGATGGTGCCCTGCTCACTTGCAGAAGCCTTCCAGGCTGGCTGGTTTCTCTGAAGTCTGTTCCCAGCTCATGGGTAACTTCTCTTTTTCAGCTGGACCCGCAGGCACTGCAGGACAAAGACTGGCAGCGCACGGTCATCTCCATGAATGGGGTAAGTGCAGCAAACAGAAATTAGCTCTGCTTCTGTACCTCCCATGGGCTTTATTTCTTTGCTATTCATTGCAGCATGGGGAAAATAAAATAAAATGTTTAACAAGTGCCATCTGATCTCTGTTGTTCAGGTTGAGGTGAAGCTGTCGGTGAAGTTCACCAGCCGGGAGTTCAGCCTCAAAAGGATGCCGTCCCGCAAACAGACCGGCGTGTTTGGGGTCAAGATCGCCATTGTCACCAAGTGAGCTCGGGGGTCACATTGCTCCCCGTTGTTTTGCAGAAAAGCAACTGGCCAGTGGGGTGCACCTGCCTGTGCCCCCCGAGGGGTGTGGCAGTCCAGCCTCCTCCACTCGAGTAGTGGGCAGATGTGGCTGCAGACAGGAGATGCTCTGTGTGCTCCCAGCTTCATTTTTTGCAGGGGAAAAAAGCAGTGTGCACACAGGCTGTGGGACCCAGGGTGTTTACTGACAGCTTCTCTGAATTCCGGAAATCCCTCTTGCCCTTGCCTTCTCTGTAGTTAGCTGACATGGTCACAAATTTCCAGAGCCACTGAACAGTGATGTTTCCTTTCCATAATCAAAAATGTTCAAGGTCTTTGGATCCTGTTGTATTATTTTAACCCCTGATCTTTTGTCGTGAATCATTTGCCAGCAGAAACCTGTTTGTTCTGTTACCCGGTTTGGGAAGTGTTGTATTTCCTCTCTATGGAATTGTATTAATTTGAAGGCAACAGAGTTGCTATGTATCCAAGGAATGTTTGGGAATCCTCTGATTACCTGGGCAGAGTCATGGGCTCTAGGGGCATTGGGACCTGGCCAGAAGCTCAAGTGCTCAGGGAAGCCAGGCTGAGACAGTCAGAAAACTCTCTCCAGTTTTTCAGCTCAGTCGTGGTTGCCTGCTCAGACTTCCTCCCACCTCATTTTCCAGAAGAGGTTTGGACAGTGAAATGCTGGGGTGGTTTTAGCCAGCCTGGCTGGCTGGGGGAACAGGCACTGAGGGCCTGGGCTGTGCTGAACTCGTCTCTCTGGCTTTTTGAAGGAGAGAGAGGTCGAAGGTGCCTTACATAGTGCGGCAGTGCGTGGAGGAGATCGAGCGGCGCGGGATGGAGGAGGTGGGAATCTACCGAGTCTCTGGGGTTGCAACGGACATCCAGGCTCTGAAAGCTGCCTTTGATGTCAGTAAGTATTTGTGCCTGATGTTCTCCTTTGCTCTGCAAGAACCTGCCTGAGCTCCCTGTCAGGTGGCTTTGCCGGTTTTAATCTTATGTTCCCCAAGAAGCATTAAGAGGTAGAGATTCTCGCACAAGGAGAATCATTTTAACCCTGGCTGCATCTTTTATTAATATTCTTCAGCTACTGATATAACTTCAGACACACAACAGGATGGATCCTTGTTCCAAACCATGCTTTTGTTATTCTTCCCAGCAGACATGAAATGGTGGGTTTACCTGCCTTGCCAAATCTTTGGAAATGACAGACACCTTTCTCAGGGGAAACGTCAGCAATCAGAAGTCATAACTTCTTCACTGTCGTGAGGTCTCCAAATTAATAGAAGTCCTTAAAATTAAGAATGTTTTGTGAAAGGAAGCCAGCAAAAAAGATATTCTAAGGTTGACTATGAGGAGTGTTTATGAAGCTGGGGTTGGATGGTCAGGGCTCCTGAGTTCTCTTCTTAACTCTGTCTAGACTGATGTGCACAGGCTGTAAAAAAATTACATAATTTGATATTTGCAGAGCTTTCGTTGATCTTGAGCAGAAAAGGGCTCCTTACAGGTGCTGCATTTAAAACAACAGTCTGTGTGTGCCAAAAGGCACCCAAGATCAGGCAGATGAAACACCTCTGAATTGCTGAGGTACAAAAAGTGAAATTCTGCCTTACTTCCAGCCTCCACATGATGGTCCAAGAGCTGCTCAAGCCACACTCCAGCTCCCTTTTTAGGCAAGCAGTCATGAGGCCTGTGCCAGTTGCCCAAATTCACCCTCCCTGCACTTTTCCTTCACTTCTTTAGTGAAATATTTTCCTTCTTGGATTTTCTTTTCAATCCCCCTAAGCTACCAAAACCTCTGCTGAATCTCCACTGGTGCAATAAGGGTCTTTCACAGATAGAAAACCAACTTTTTTCATTTCTGTTAAATGCTGTTTTATGCTAAATTCCATTAAATCAGTGTTGGCTCTGCTTGTTGGTGTTTGTTTTAGGGAAAGGGGGTGGTTTTATTGTTCCTAATAGTAACAAAAGTGAAATGTGAGCCCTGAATTGCTTTAGCAACACTCGGTGGGGAGTTAGAGACCTCAGAGTCTGTTATTCTAGGCTGTTAGAAGCAGAGAATTGGAATAACAACTGTTGTCACTAACAAAAGTCGAAATGCATATAAATACAGTCAAGCAGGGCTTGTTCAGACCAGGCACAGCACAGCAACCTGGGAGCCTGAGGTTCTCTTGACTTGATGTAAAGCCATTTGCAGTCATTTGTGCAGCACTTCTCAGTTGTCAGAAGGTTGCTCATTTAATCTGGGGAAATGTAAACAGGAAAACTCTCAGCTATTTGTGCAAAGACAAAGGTTAAACAGACCCAAAGCGAAGAAAAGAAGGAATGCAAGGCCAGCAGCTCCTTTACCCTGCCCCTGCTCTGCCCTCTTTCAGACAACAAGGACGTGTCGGTGATGATGAGCGAGATGGACGTCAACGCCATCGCGGGCACCCTCAAGCTGTACTTCCGCGAGCTGCCCGAGCCCCTGTTCACGGACGAGCTGTACCCCAACTTCGCCGAGGGCATCGGTGGGTAGCAGCAGAGGGAACCCTTGAGGATGGAAGCTCTTCAGGAGGAGGCTGCTCCTGAAGCAACACAATTGGCAGTGTTGGACAGAAGCCTGAGCAAGCTGTGAGGGTTGTGGAACAGAGCTCAGAATGGAGCGTTGGAATGACACCCCCTTCCCACGTGGCGGAGTATGGGCGACTGCCACACTGGAGTGCAGGCTGGAAAAGCCCAGGGTTCTGAAGGATGGGTTCAGAACAGGATGCCAGCCTGCCTGCTGGGGCTCTGCAGGCTGACTGCCCAGTCAGGCTTCCAGGGAAGCCCCCTTTGGAGGGGAGGGGCGTGTACCCCATCTTACCTTGATGCAGGGGAAAGACACCAATGATTGAAAGTCTGAAAGCACTTGAACTGCTTGAGAGAAAAATAGTCTCTATGCATTTATGAAATAAAGGAAAGAGATGCTGTGGGATATTGATGTGCAACTCTGACCTTCCTTCCAGCCTGTAATGTAACCACAGTCCATCCAGGCCCATCCCTATGGCTGGCTGGGAGGTGGCACAGTCGGTCAGATCCTCACTCACTGCCTGGGGTGATGTTTTGTTCTCTGTTTTGCAGCACTTTCAGATCCTGTTGCAAAGGAAAGCTGTATGCTGAATTTGTTGCTGTCGCTTCCAGAACCCAACCTTGTGACATTCCTTTTCCTTTTGGACCATTTAAAAAGGTAATATGTGGTTCCTTGAGACTTGCATTTAATGTGTAAAGCATTGTTATTTTGAAAAGAGGAGCCTTTTCCTTAAATTTGTGCTGAATCACACAAATGAAGAAGCATTTGCTGATCTGCTGTGAATGCTCATCAGATAACTATTGTCTCATACTCACTTAGTGAGGCAGTAAATCCTGAATTCCATTCCCACTCATACTGAAAAAGGATTAGAACTGGAGGAAAGGGGTAACAAAAGAGTCAGGGCTTATCTAGCGCAAATGCAAATTCCTGCTGCAATGTCTCTGCAAAACTGCACCTGCATCTGGATCCAAAGTTCTGGAAAGATTTTTGCATAAGTTATGAAGCTTTGGCCATGTTTAAGGTCTGGTGAGCCCTGTCTCAAAAGGTGTCTGAAATCCAATATAATCTGTTTTTAAAATAGATAGCACTTTGCCTAAATGCTCTTGTCAGTTCCTTGTTCAGTCAAGTCTTTCTGATCTTGTCTATGTAATATGGTTTCAACTGTGAAAAAGTATTTTCATGCATTTGATATTAATCAATAAGCTGGCTTAATACCAGCCCAGTGTGTTGATTTGCATATGTGTGTTGAACACACCAGAGACTGTACCTGGCGACATGAAAGATCATCTTGTGACTGAGGTTCTGGATTAAAATCCAGGAAATCTGGGGTTTACTTGTGTTTCTGCTGAAGACTTTTCTCTTGGGCAAATTTTTTAACCTTTGTGCCTCAGTTTCTCATTTGTAAAACTCAGGTATTTATGAAGATCTGCCTCGTGCATTGTTTTTTCTCCCAGGGTTGCTGAGAGGGAAGGCGTTAACAAGATGTCCCTGCATAATCTTGCCACTGTCTTTGGACCAACACTGCTCAGACCTTCGGAGAAGGACAGTAAAATCCCTGCTAACCCAACCCAGCCCATCACAATGACTGACAGCTGGTCACTAGAAGTCATGTCCCAGGTAAGATGCTGAATGTGCCATTGCATCTTGTGAAGACACTTCCTGGGTAGGGCCTGGCTCAGCCACCCCGCTGTGTTTCCATGGCAGTTTTTTTGAGAAACATAAAACAACTTCTGCCCTTACAGTGACATTTTAAACTGTTTGTAGAACTGTGTTTCTTCAGGCAGTTCAGTTTGCATCTGTACAGATACATTTCATGAGGGAATGTCTGTTGGTGCATCCCGTGTGTGTGTTTGTGCGAGGGAAGAGTTTTTGGGAAGCTCTCCCAGCACCATCCTGGTGCCCTGGGATAAAAGGACCAAAAGTGTTTCTGCAATGCTCCTCAACACTTAAACCAACACAATCCTCTGCTAAATTTACATTTCTTTGGCCACTGCTGCCTGTGAAGGTGATGCAGAGGGTTGGAACACAGAGCCTGTGTTACTGGGTCAGGCTGGTTTGTATGTTCTCCATTGAATAATGGCAAATTCTAGATGCAGTTTTTTCAGTGCACTGGAACACCAGCGCCATTGTTTCATCCTGGAAGCTGAAAAGGGTGTCTCTGAAGCACTGCAAGTTTTGCTATTTCTGCTGATGTTACACAGTGGATTAAAACAAATACACAAGTGCTACATGCTGCCATGGAGAGAGCTGTAGGCATGTCTGCCCGCTCTCAAATAGCTGGGATGAGAATGAGTTACCAGGGCTTTATTACCTTGTTCTTTCTCTTTCCAGGTTCAAGTTCTTCTGTACTTCCTGCAGCTAGAGACCATCCCTACCCCGGACAGCAAGAGGCAAAGCATTCTCTTTTCCACGGAGGTGTAGGTGCCCGCGGTACCAACAGGACACAAAAAACTGCTCTTGGCATAACTCTGCCACCCCTGAGAAAAAGCTGACTGGTGTTTCCTCAGATGTGACTGGCCTGTTCCTGTGCTGGGGAATTCCAGCCCTCAGTGCTTCTGTTGTTTGTGAACCAGAGACAAGCTGGAGAAAAAAGGAGAAAACCCTCTCCTCGTGCTGGTAGGACCAGAACTAAGTGGAGATGGAGCTGCGTGGAATCTCCACTAGAAGGAGCAATAGACACTTGAACAAATGCACCACGGAGTGTGGCCATTATTCTTGTTGGGAATGGGACAGAAGGTATTCCTCATTTTATGGATTTAATTTATCATAAAGAAACTTCAAGATTTCTACTGGACCACTTGATAGGACACCCCTTTTTGGGTGAGGGGGTGTTAAAGGATATATCACAACTGTGTCTTTAATAACTGCTGATTTTCAAGTACTGTTCTAGGCCACAAAAATAGCATAGCTTTGGAGGAAGGAAGGAGAAGGGAAGGGTCTGGGATCTAAGATTCCCTCCTCAGAAATTCAAGTCTTGATTCAAATGGGGTTCTAGAGAAATCCAACAGTTTTATGTACAACTAGAACTGTTGGTCCGTTTGGGGGCTGGGACTTTTTGTGTTTGGGGTTTTTTTTTTGTCTCACCCAGCCCTTCAGGTGCAAATGTTTATACACCCCGGGGAAGGAGATGCCCTGCTCTTGCCTGTGTTGCACTTCTGATGGTTTTTTTGGGTTAAGGGAGACACATCCAATGAAGTTACACTATAAATAAATACAGCAAATTAAAGAGAGGCAGGGAGGATAAGAGTCAGTGATTCTGTTGGTTTTTTGCATGTAAGCAGAGGCAACATTATCCAGGAAGGATTGCTAAATTCCTTAGACCCCACCAAACTCCATGAAAATTAATTGGGAAGACACTTAATTCCCAACACTCCAAAGAAAATACGTTATCACTGCAAAAACAATTGAAGAATTTGTGAACAAAAAAAAATGAATGGCTGTCAGTTTGGCTGGCTGCTTACTCCAGACTTTTATCAGAACATCTTTTTTTGATACTTGAATTTTTGGAGGCTTTGTACATTGCTTCTACAAGAGTCTTTTTCTGATAGATACAAACACTCTGAAAAATGTGTCAGAATGTACTTTATGGACAATCTAGCAAGTAGCATGCATTGTGGATTCTCCAGAAATTCCAACCCTGTTTTAAATAAGAGCAGTGGAGAAATTTCTGTGGAACTCCATCCAGCAGTACAAGAGGTCTGGCCAAACACCAATTTTGTGTTTCCCTCCCTAAATCAGTTGAAGCCACAGGGGTTCCAGAGGCAGAAAGGGCAGCAGTATTTGTCCAGGGAATTGAAACTGCAGAATCTGATTGCTGGTCTCCAGAGCCGAGCAATCTGGCTATGAAGCAGTTGTGCCAAACATCCTGAGGGGTGGGAGCGACGCCGTTTTCCTAAACCACTCCAGCCCCCACTTCCTACCCAGCTCTGCAGCATCCATTTAGTGGCATCTGTCCATCAGTGTCCTGGCAAGAAGAAAAGTACAGCTGGAAGACAAGGGAAGGATTTGGCACAAGAAGGGGAGGGAGGGACAGATTTTGAAAGATTGGTAGGGTCAGGTTGTCAACATCATCTGTGGGGAAATGCGACGCAGAAAGCAACCCCTCTTGTGCGGAACCGCACATTTTCTGATGGGTGATCGGCAATCTCTCAGTTAAAAAAAAAATAGCAAAGGAGTGTTACAAACAAATAGAAAGAAAAAAATTAAAAGGGAACTGATTTTGTAGTCACTGTAATTCTGACTGCTGCATAATATTAGAAATTATTGTACTGTGAAGTTGCAAAATCAAAAAGGAACAAATATAAATTTCGATTTTGTGAGTATATCAATATTTTGCATGCTTTGTAAGGATTCTTATAGGAATTTAATATTGCTTAGTATCCCTCCCTCCTTAGGTCTGGGAGCAAACCTCTTTGTAATGTAATGTACAACTAGAAATTCCTTCTCTCTTGTATGTATTTCCACAACATTCCAACTTCTGAACCCGCAAAACAGAAAATGTGTCTGTAGTAGGAGGTGCTTTTTGGGGGAGGGAGGGAATGAAGGCAAGGAAACTTGAAGGCTTAAGATTTTGACTTTTTTTTAATTTTTATTTTCGGTTTTTGCCTGTTTGAAGGTAAAAATTAGTCACAATCCTGACGAACGTTGACTTGAGCCAAGTCGTGCCGAGCAGTAAAGCACACTCTACTTTTGGTTCTCTGTATCTGTTCTCCCTTTTCCCTGGCACAATCCCACCACAGCAATCCTTGTACCACAGGCTGCACTCCTGCCAGCTCCCACCTCGGGGGGATGGACCTGAGGCAGAAGCACTGCTGATGACTTCATGGAAAAGGGGAAAAAAACCCAAGCTACAGCTGGTGGCTGGGTGATAACCTTTTCCTTTGGTGTTTGGAATCTGTGGCTGCTCCTTGCAGTGTTGAAACTGGAAAGCAATACCATAATGACTGTGCCAATTTACTTTTGCCCAACTTTTTTATTTTTATTTATATAGGAAGTTAATTTTAATATTAAATTACTGATCTATAGTATGTAACCACGAGAAAATGGCTTTTGCTTTGGTTACTGTGACAGGTTGTTGCTGTCAGTCTCTCATTACAATGCTCAGTTCTAATGTAACATTATCTAACATGCAGGCATGTGGATCAGGGAAAAAAAGGTAATTTAACTTAACCCGTTAATTATTTCTGTTAAGTATGAGTATGTTTTCCCCAAAGCTGGTAATTTTGGGCTGGAAAAGATAGTTCATCATATTGCTGATGATGAAATCATGGACTGATTTGAAATACGAGAATTGATTTCTTGAATTTCCTTTAATTTTGCAATTAAATTTTTTTCAAATAGTCTTATGTTTTCAGAAATTTAAGTATTTCCAAAAGGCTTTTATGTTCTTCTCCCGGGGATGTTGGTTGGGTTTTTTGGTTTGTTTCGGGGTTTTTTTGTGGGCTTTCTTTTTTTTTTTTACTTTATTTTTTAATAAGCCTTATCATACTTAAACAAAAAGGGAATTGCAAAACTTGGCTTTAGAGAAGGCCGCCTGATTTCTCCTCTTATATGTTCCCTTGTGAGTTGTGTCAGAAAACCAAACTCTTTCATTTTCTGTATCAAAAAAGGTACAGTATAAACAACTTAAGAGCAAACTAGCAAAAAGTTACCCTTTAGGTGTGCACTGGGAGTTTATGCTCCTTCAGTTTCTAGTGTGTTGGAGAGACCTTTCTGCAAATGTTGCTTTCAGGAGCAGGAATCTCAAACACTGAAATTTTCAGCTAAGGAAATTCAGGTGATTAGGACAGTCTGTGTCTCTCCGAGTTTAAGGAGAGGAACAAGCATCAGCGTCCTGGCATTTGGAAACTATTTTAAAATGCTCATGGATTTTTTTTTTTAACACTGAATAGGTTTTTAAATAAAATCAAAAAAAGTTAAGCAAACTAAGAGAAAAAGTTTTCCCAAGGCGGACAAGAAATAACAGTTCCTAGCTCAGAGTCAGCTCTGTGTCTGTGTGTGCTTCGTACGGGAGGGGAGGGTGGGAAACCAAACTGAAACACGTCCACTCAAATGCTGCTGGTGTTCCTTATTCTTGCACAATTTTAACAAGTTGAGGTAGTAGCTGAGCTATTTCAGGCTGTATTTTAATGCTGCTGTTTTTCAGTGTATCAGCTAAGGGCAAACCCCAGCAGTGTGGTGCCTGTCCTTGCCGTGTCCACCGCCCGGAGCCAAACGGCCACTTGTGGTGTTGGCGGTGAGGTGGTGGAACCACAGAGGATGTTTATGGGAGGGGCAGGGTTTTTGCAGTTTATTCGTTTTACCTGTTTAAAACTCTGTTTTATGGTTGTTCATGTTAGTTTTCTATGAGTTTATTTAAACAAATGTACTGTTCTTTAAAGCATATGTGGATCTCCAGATTAGTTTGTCACCTGTGTAACACTGGAAGGCATCACAATGTGTTCATTTACCTTAACATGCCCTTCTGTCAAGTATGTATAAAATATAAACTGACCAATGAGGCTTTTAAAAATGTTTAAAATCTGATGGCAAAAACCCAGCTCTCTCTGATTCCTCACTGGGTAATCCATTTGTTTCAGTGCTTGGTCACCTACTGGGGTAACTTTATCAGATGTGACATTCTTCTTATGGAAATTTTAGTATAAAATGGGAAATGTTGTAAGAAAAACCCTACCCTTTCTCTTTTTACTTTAATTCAAGACAACAGGGACTTGTAATAGCAGAAGACCGGTACATTCATGCTGGATTTTGGGGGGGCCCTGCTTCTGTTCCTTGAAGAAGAAAAATCTGAAAGGGCAATTCCCAAGTAGATACGATCAAATTAATGAAATTCTTGTAGCCACTTGTTTATGCCCTCTTAAATTTGTAATCCAGGGATGTTTTTCTTTTTAGACTAACACTGTCATTGTACTGTTAGTGAAAAATAAACCTGGTACCATTCCCTTCCTTTAACACAGGGCCTGGGCAACTGAGATACCGGAGCCTTGGGTTTGTATTAGCAATTCTCCATTCTGAACTCAAATGAAATGAATGTTCATGTGTGTTCTGTGAATTTTGTAATTGAATGGAATTAAATACATGGATTGCCCTTAAAACCAACAGAAGCTATAAAGGAAGCCCTTACAGTTAATAGATTTTTCCGTAACAATCTTCAGGGAATAAAAGTAACACGAATGGAAAAGAGAAGCATAATTAGGAATCGCTCAGGTCACATTGTCTGGGACTAGAAAGGAGTTCTCATTTTGAGTCACAGAAGGCAGCTCATGCCCCAGATAACTGAGCAAAGGCTGTCGTGCCAGGAAATAAACATGAATATGGGAACGCCAGGAATTCAGCTGCTGGAGCCTCCCAGTTCTGATGTGCTGCAGCCCCTCTTTCTTAGTGCTCAACATTCACACACAGTTCAGTGCTAAGGAAGCCAAGTTTACCACTTGCTCTTTTCCTTTTTTTCCCCCTGTGGCAACAGCAATAGGTGTGTTACCCTAGGTGAACTGCCACCACAGAGAAGTAAGAAGCTCATAGAACCACACAGGTGAACTATTGTTTGAGCTAAAAGTCTGTTCCTGGGCTGCAAGGATAAAATGCCACAACACGCTGCAATGATGAAATGGTTGGGGCAGTAGGACCAAAGCAAATCTGAGTGTATGTGTTGTCTCAATTCTTCTCCTTCCATGACCGTATCATCAGATTGCAGCCTTTCAGGTCAAGCAAATTCAAAACTGCTCTTGCCAAGAATTAAAAAATTATAAAATGACTTCGTTTCCCTCCAGTGTTGATTCTCTTTGTGTTACTACCTTATACTGACATTGCTGGAGACCACTGAAAAACATGCAGGTGGAACCATGCAACGGCTTTTCACATAATTTATTTGCTGCTGCCATGTTTCACCTTACAGTAAAACAGATCCTTCCTTTTCCAAAAGAACCACTTCACATCATTCTGCACTGTAGCAACTACCACATGGGGAGATTCAGTTTGTAGCAGAGCTACAGAGCAGAGCACTGGAGATAATTAAAGTATTTCCAGTCTTGTGCAGAATGGACCAGGTACTGCTAATGCTCTGGGCTCACGTAGGCCAGTGTTGTGAGCTAAGTAAGATTCTATTATTTACAGCTGTTCAAGCATATTTGGGAATTAATATGATTACAGAGTCCCCAGGCCTAGCAGGAGTGTTTGTGCTACTGCTTTGTCTTAATCGCAGTCATGTTCAAATCCTCACGTCAAAAATGGTTCATCAGAATAGAGAAAATTGTATTTTCCACTGGAGCTTTTGCTTGTGTAACTGCTGCAGCCTTTTCCCCAGTGATAGCACGTTCTGAGAACCCGAGACATTCTACAGATGAACAGTTTCTCTAACGTGCAGAATGATTTATACCACGCGGCGTTTTATATCCCTGTGGGTGTACAAAAGGGCAGGCTTGTGTACAAAACAGCTTCCTGCCTGGAAGGAGGATACAGCAGCTTCCTGGAGATGACCCCCATGGAGGGTCACAGCGGGTGGAGCCCAGCAGAGAGCAGTTGGCCTTGCTGCTGCTTGGATGCTCCCACCTCCCCTGGGGCAGTTGGATAAGGCCCAGAAGGCAGTTTTGAGAGTTCCTTCTTACTGCACCTGAATGACTGATCAAATGCCCATCTAGAGTAGCTCAAACTTCCTCCATTTTAGTCCCATTTCGGGAGAATTTTGCCAGTTTGGGATTATGCAAATAGCTGAAAGCTGATCCATAACTAACACCTATTTCATATATAGTAGGTGGTAATGTAAAAGCTGCCATAGCAAAAGGTCATTTCTCCACAGCAGCCTCTTCTGCTCCCTTCCTTGCTGCTCACAGCCTCAGAGAAATCTTGTCTTGGGTTTCACAATCACACACAAAACTTGCAGAATCCTGGATAAAACTTAGCTATGCAGAGACTGATGTTTCAAGAGTTAGAATATCAGGACTGAAAGTGATTACCAAGGTAGCAAAAAGAGGGTAATGAATCATTGTGTTGGATAAATTGGAGAAGGATCACAATGAAACAGTGAATTAAAAAATGATCTCACAGCAGGACACTGAAACATTGTCCTTTCTGTGTCTGTCCAGCAAAAAAAAATAAAACTCAGCCTTCTCTTGCCTATGTAAGTTGTGTAGTTTGTTCTTATCTCTAGTATTATAAGTGTTTATAATCCATGAAGAATTCCAAGGAAAGGAGTTAAGACTATTTATTTAAATATAAATACAATTAAATTATATAATTAGTGCTAAATTATCAGGTGTAGAAGACAACTTGTTATTGTTTGGATAATTTTGAGTTTCATCAGAGCTAATACTGTTGGCATTGTTTTAAACACTACCATGTTAGGGAGTCGGTTTTTGACATTTTATACTGCTGTTGCTAGTGCTCCAGTATCTTATAGTGCTCTGTTTTGGGAAAGAAAACCTAATCCAAATAGTTTAATACTGAAAGGTGTTGAAACTGTACTGCTAAACATCTCTCAGTTTAGGCCCAAAGAGAAGAGAAAAAGGAAAGGGAAAAAAGTGGGGAAAAATCGTCTTTCTGGATATTTTTTTTTTTTTTACTTTCTGAGAAAAGCGGTATGAAAAAGGGATCCAAAAACTGTATTTGGGGGGAAAAAAGTCTTAAGGCATTTGTAGCCTTTCTTTGTACACAATGTTAAATAAAATCTCCTGTATCTATGTTTGTCAGGTTCTTTTGGTCTTATTTAAATAAAAGTGGGCCTGCATTACACTGAACGTGTGAATTGCATTCAGCTGAGTTTGCTGGAGGTAGGGAATCTAACATTGCTGTGTCCAAGTGAAAGCTGTTTCTTGTTTTACAAGGTAGAAGCTTTATCACTTAAAATCTAGAGGTTGGGACAGGGTTGTTGCTGAATTAAGCTAAAACAACTAAAATGTGTGGGAATAGTTTACACGTAAGGTAGAGAAGTAGCTGAGCAACCCAGTCCATGTCCAGATCTGTGTGAATCCTTTTGCAGGAGTTCTGCTTCAAAACCCAGCCCAGTCTCAGACCTTGTGAACTTTATATTTGTGTGCAGAGAACTTGAACTGTAGTTATGTATTTGCTAAGAAATCAGCTCTGGCCTCCAGTTCTTCAAACACTGCATGAAAGTAGTGGGGTTTTGTAGGAATCAGTTTGGAAACTGAATCCGTTATTTAAATCACGTTTACTCGGTGCTTTATTTAAATATTGTTTAAATTATTAATGTAATTAATTAAAGTACGTTTATGGTTTAATATAGTCCAAATTTAATACAATATATAAACATTTCTATAATAAAAAGGTACCTTGCTCCAAAGCTCTAGCCAGTTTCCTTCAGCGTGGGTCACAAAGATGACACAGCTCAGTGGCAATGCTGGAAGAGATAAAATGCAGCTGAGTGCAGTGTTCAGAACTACACTGATTATTGTGCTTACCCCTGAATTGGGCAAAGGAGGGGAAACCCAATCACTGTTATTAATACTTCCTACCAGTGGTGTATCTGTAGAATAGAAAATAGTTTTCCAATAGCTTCAATGTGGAATTCTTCTGCCAAATGGTTCTCCCTCCATCAGAAAGTGTACCCTTGTAGTGCATCCACATGGAACAGCCCCTGGGTGAGCCTGGAGGGGACCATGTCCTTGTGCCAGGCGCTCTGCTCATACAACCACGTTCCTACCGTGTCTGGCTCCCCTCTGACTGCCAGCCTGGCTCTTCTCAGCCACTTCTTCTGGCTGCTTTTCCCTTCTTGAAGACCCAGGGCAAGCTACACTGCCATGGGCTTGAGGTGAACTGTGGTGTCCAGGCTTGTGCAAATCACCCAGGGCACTCCTGTGGGATGCTCTGGTCCTGGAATGAGACAGAGTAAACAAAACCTGAGGCTGGAGCAGGATGAGAAAGAACATGATTGTATAATACAGATGTTCTGTGCAAATTGCTCCACCTGAGCAGGTGTCTTTCCCTTTTCCAGCAGCCCTGAGGCCTGGACAGGCTGGCCTGAGGCAGGTGGTCCCCTGAGGCCCTGCAGGATGCAGCTGTCACTGCGAAGCAGGATCAGCATGAGCAGGATCAGCATGAGCGGTACCTGCCCAACTCCAGAGACATTTGTCTGCTCTTTGTTAGCAGCCTCCAGTTATGGAGACTCTGTAATCCTCCGGGGCAATCTAATCCAGAACATAACCACAATGAGAAAGTTTTCCTAGCAGACAGCTGAATCACTCTTGCACACATTACAGCACAGAATGCTGCAATTTTATGCATTTTTTTCGGTGACCTTTTAAGTTCCAGAACTAGGATCTGAGGCATATGCACTGTCACTTAGCAGCTTGTTCATTAATTCACTGAGCTGAACAACTGCTTCCTGCTGGAAAACAGAAAGCTGAGCCCTTTGTGGGCTACAGTGAGAAATATATTGTACAAAACAAGTGCAGACGTTTTTCACATCCCTAATACAGAAGTAGTGCCAGTGAAAGGCCATTTTTTAACTGATAAATATCTTGAAAAGTGATCCAAAGGTAGAAACACAGAACAACATTTTGCTGAAGGTATCATGGATCAGAAAATGTAATGGAATGACATTGGTGGTAATGTAAGAAAATAAACATCAGAAATATGAATTATTTATAAAGGAGCATTTTACTGTCAAACAAGTGCCCTGTATCCATGCAGAAGCCTTCCAGAGGAATCCCCACCAGGTAAGAACAGGCAGAGTTGACAGAAATGGATGGGGAAGGACATCTCAATAAAATGACTGCCTTTGTAAGACAGATAAACAGGAAAATTTTCCCACAGTGTAAATCAAACTATATTGTAACATCTGGCAGCATACATCCTCTCAGTTTTAAAAGGAATTCTGATTAAATATAGATGTAATTTACTTTGATTTACTACATTAATAATTAAACTTGACCAAAGATAACGAGGGGACTGTAAATCTTACTTGCCCTCACCAATCTGCAGACTGTGAATTCCATATTCCTGTGAATTCTATTCCTATGAATTCTAGGAAGGAACATACCTCAAGGGAGAGGCTGCAACACAATCTTATACTGAAATGTTTCTTTCGCTAAAACAGCTGAACTGCTGTTGGGAGAGAGGCTTTAACCCACAGTCTGAGCTAAACAGAGGGGAAAGTTTCACAAGAATATGTCAAATCAGCACATTTTCCTCATTACTGTGTTCATAGCACTTCCCAGCCAATGCCTGTCAATACAAACTCTGCTGTACCTCCCACCACAGCGCCCACGCTGCAATTTGGGTTTATTAGCTGCAGTCGCTGGTTATTCATGGCAAGTCAAACATCCTGCACACCGATGAGCTACAAAGCTCAGCTTAGTGTGTTCCACAGGAGCTCAGGCTTTGAAAGCTTGTGTGCACACGCAGTTCTTGTAACCTAAGACAAAACAATTCTCCACCACAATGTTCAGCTTTTCTTCCCAGGGGCTAGTACGGGGCTATGTTTTGCATCTGTGCTGAACGCAGTGATGAATATTAACTCTACCTCACTTAAACCATGGCGCACATTTAAACATTTACTTCTTGCTTGGATGAAAAGCTGCAATTACGGACCCGGACAGTGAGGCGCGGGTTTAGGAGTCCCACAGCCCCCTCGCTCCCACCTGCGCTGCCTGCCCTGTGTGCGCTCAGTGCCGGAGCTTAAACTATGTGTGTTTGTTCCACAAAAAGAATCCCTAAACCCACCAGCCAACCACAACAAAACAAAAGGATTTTTTTTACCAGCGTGAGGCGCGGGCCCCGGGCCGGGGCCGCCGCCGTCCCCCGCCCTCAGAAATCAAGGGAGCTGGGGAAGGGTCTGGAGCAGCAGGAGCGGCTGAGGGAGCTGGGGGGGCTCAGCCCGGAGAGGAGGAGGCTCAGGGGGGACCTTCTGGCTCTGCTACTCCTTGACAGGAGGGGGGAACCCGGGGGGGTTCGGGCTCTGCTCCCGGGTAACACCAGGACGAGAGGACATAGTCTTAAACTGCGTCAGGAGAGGTTTAGTTTGGACATCAGGAGGAATTTCTTCACAGAAATGGCCATCAGACATTGAACGGGCTGCCCGGGGAGGTGGTGGAGTCACCGTCCCTGGAGGCGTTTAAGGAAAGACTAGACACACTCAGTGCCATAGACTGGTTGACACGGCGACGTCGGGCCACTGGTCGGACCCGATGATCTCAGAGGTCATTTCCAACCTGATCGATTCTCTAATTTTGCTATTCCGCGGTTCAGGTGCGGAGCGGCCTCGCCCAGCCCCGCCCTGAGGGAGGGGCCGCCCCGCGCACGCGCCGCCCGTGGCCGCGCCCCCCTCCCCTTTCCCCTCACGGCCAGCGGTGCCACGGGGGGCGGTGCCGGCGCGTGCGCGGTGCGGGCAGGGGGCGGGGCGGAGGCGGAGGCGGGCGGAGGGGTCCCAGCCGCGCGCGCGCCCCTCCGCGCCCCCCCCTCCCCCGCCCGCCGGCCCGGCCCGCGCGGAGCCCCCGGAGCGGGGCCCGGAGCAGCGGGAAGGAGGCGGCGGCTGCCCCGGTAAGCGCCGAGCGCCGGCGGGCACAGCCCGACCCCTGCCCATCGGGGGGTCACCCGCGCGGTCTCCGTCAGGGCCTGTGTGCCGCGGTCTGGCCGCAGCGCCCCTCACGGCCGCCGGGAGCCCCCGGGCCCCGGCTCCTCCTCATCATCGCCCCATCCCCCCCGTCCTCCCCGAGGGGCCGCGCTGTCACCCTGCGGCGGTGACACCGCCCCGCTCCCGCCTCGGGGGCCCCCCGCGCCTCAGGGGCCGCCCGCGGCATCCCCCGCCCGCCCTGCGCGCCCTCGCTGTCACCCATCTTGCGGCCGCGTCCCCGCGGGCGGGCTCAGCGCGGCCGCTCCGCCGGCCCCGGCTAGCGGGGAGGCGCAGGTTGGCCCGCGTTTGCATCCCGCCGTGAAACCCTTTGCTTTGCTGTGTCTGTGAGAGGGGTGGTGGGTGCGTGCGGGAGCTCCCTGAGGGGAAGGGCGCAGCGCCCGCGTTCAGCACCTTTGTAGCGGGGTTTTGGTGCGGTTGGGAGCACCGTTGTGTGGGTTCTGGTCTCATACTTGTCTGGAGCGCCGTTTTTTCTCTGCGTTTTTGTAGCTGGAAGATCCTACAAGCTGAGTTTCGTGCCTGCTGCCTCCCTTTCTTGTGCCTCGCAGTATTCCATCTTGCAAGGCTTTCATGACCTGGTATTACCAGGGATGGAGGGAGGCGGGTTCCTATAGCTGTGCCAAAATCACTCACCAGCCTGTTCTGAGAGGTTCTGTGTCCTCAGAGACAAAACCAATGCAGTGCTGATGCTCAGCAAACTGCATCCTTCTCTCCACAGCAGCACCTCACTGTCTGTGCTTGCAGAAAGTGTCTGTGCTAGGATCTGGAACGCAGTTCTCTTGGAGCAGAAAACGTGTCATGTAAGTGGTTCCACTGGGTGAAAAGTGTTCTATAGAGCTATAGGTTTTGTCGAAGGGCATAGTCTGTGCAAGCTCTGCTCCCCAAAAGCAAACAGAAACCTTCTGGAGCTGCTTCCTGCTTCATTAATGGTATGGACTTTGGTTGCTGAAAGATAGGCAAACTAAAGCCAGTGTCTGCTTTTAACACTGTGGGTCACAGTATAGTGCTGCAGTAGCTCAGAATTATAGTTGCTTCTCCCTCTACAGCCAAGCTGATTGTTGTTAGGTAGTTGCTAACGAAAATGAAAAGAGAGGGTCATTGTAAACAGTCTGAGATTAAAACTGAGCAGTTGAGATGGGTGTAG